TATGATCAGCAGCTCTGAACAGTAACTCAAAGGTCAGTCTACTTTGCCAGTCACCCATGTCCTTCCACCCCCTACGGCATTACTGAAATAACCGGTTGTTAGTCACCGGTGAACACCACAACAATACTGTAATAAACAGATGTCTCTCGTCAGTAACCCTCATGGCAACCAATGTGTTAACTAATTTAGTTTCTTACTTCTAAAATCTCTACCATTTTTAATGGTGTTCTGATGAAGAAATAAAAGGAAAAGGTATAAATATTAGTTCTGGAAAGTCTAAAAAACCATCAGGTAAAAATAGTTTTTGCGAATCGTAGAAATGTTCAAGAACACCAAAAGCTGAGCTGAAAAATACAAATTTTTTGTATCAGATCTTGTGTATTTAATGTAGATCAGCAACCATTGTGATTATGTTAAAGATCATTAGCTTAACTCCAGTGTTAAATTTTACAAAAATACATGAGTGAAAGATAGTTTAATCATGTTTGTCCTGTCGTATTTCTTCTTTAATCTTAATTATATTTAGCTTTGAAAATGATATTTTTACTGTAGTAAGTTACAGGAATTGTGAAAGTAAGAAAACTAGCTGCATTTCGAAGTCACTTTCCAGTGAATAATAGTTTTAAACATTAAGTTTCCAAATTCGTGAATGGACGTGCTTTCATCAACCTTTTCTTTCCACCACTGCGGTGTGTTTATAAATTGGAAATTCTTGTGATAATATTTCAGAATAATTATAGACTAAATAGTCATATTTTTTGCAAGGAGGTTCTAAAAACCAAATTGATCTCTTGCATTTGTCTGCTGAAATGTCGTTAATTTGTGCTAAACTGTCTTGAAATGCAGTAAAATATTCACTTTAAGAATATTCTTTGTAGGATTGAAATTGATGTGTCAAAATGACATTTTATCGCATTTTATATCTTTGTTAGAAATTCTGAAGTAACATCCCATTTTTTGACCATTTGTTTCAGCTCTTCTGAAATAAGTTTGAATTTGTTATGTAGTTTCTTTTATTTATCCAGCTGTTATTTAAACATTGTGTAGCATTGTAAAACATTGTTTAAACATAATTTATTTTATTTAATACTTTGTCCATAAATATTCAAATAAATTCAAAATTTGCTGTTTTATTTTTTATCAGCAGTACTTCTTCCCATTACTCTTTTATTACTTTTACAGTGAATTTCAGTCAAAACTTTTAGAATATCACCATAATGTAATTTTACTCCATTTAACACGGTAGTTTGACCAACAAGTTGGGTTCAGTTTTTTAAAGATATTTCTGATTCAGTTGTAACAAATCTCGCTATTTTATATTTTTCCGACAAAATATATTTTTGTAATATGACAAAAAATGATGAAAATTTCTTTACAAGCATTTGCAACCTCATTAATGAGGTGGTTTAAGTTGCAAGTCTAATAATATATGTATTTTGCATTTGGGTGAATTTTTTTAATCTTTTGCTGGAGGCCATTATAAACTCCAATCGAAATGCAAGTGCCATATTCTTGTTTATAGCACTTTTAAATTTAAATTTCTTTTTTATTCAAAAAATTGAGAATGTCTTCAGTCCTTGAAGAAGGATGATTTTTTATAGAACAAAATCCGAGAAATGTTTGTTTGTTATAAAATCTGTGGCTTTGAATTATCTCTTACAGCATGAGCATGTCTTAAAAGGGCACTCATTTGATCAGTCTTCGATATATCTATAATAATTCTAACAATATTCTAATAATAAAGAATAAAAGGGAGATGCATGTATTCCGGTTCATTGAATTATTTCATTTTGTATTGTAGGACTCTAATATTTTAACACTGGTATTACAAAAACTTGTCATAACATTTTCATGTTATTTAACCTGCAATAAAAACTTACCAATGCAACTAGTATTTACATCTTCACTATGGGAACAAAAAGCTAACTCATTTTTTCATAGTATACATGTACTGTTAAATTACTGTTCTAAAACCATTTTCCAAAACATTGCCTCTTATTGAATTTATTTTCGAGGTTTATAGCAATAGTCAGTCCTCCTCTCCTCAAGTGTCATATGTAGTGCTTCCTTCTGTATGCAATTTGGAAGAATTGTGGATTTTTTATTCCATTAAATTTTCTTGTCTGTAATATGTGAACACTAATGAGTGAAAACAACCAATAAGTTTGGCCACACTTCCTCATGATGCTCATATGCTGCACTAAAATGCATATTTCCTTTTTTAGTATCTTTTGGAAAAAAGCCTGTAGATTTTCCTTCATTTTCATCACAATTCATTAGAAATACTCTCATATTATGAGTAATACTTTTACCTACGTAATTACCTATATCTCCTGATGGGCCATGCATCTATTTCTTCTGTATGTTTGCCAGCCTTACTAGAAGAGGTGTCGGATAATATGAGTTTTTCTGTTTAGGCTATTCAACCTTACTAGGAGAGATAATATCATTAAAGAATCTTTTTCTGGCTATAATGTTTTAAAACAAAGTTGTCTAATTTTGGAAGCTTTTCTTTTTTGTGGTTTTGCTGCCTGCTGCTTGGATGCCTGCAGCTGGTTTGCTGCTCGGATGGTATAGTGGTTAGGGAAGCCTACTACAGCACCGAAAGGCTGAGGTTCAAATCCCGGAGAAGACATGGTTGTAACTGTCAATCCCTTCATAGGAGGCAATGGTGACCATCTATTAGATGCCTCCACAATAAAATGGCCACCACTTCTGGCCTTAATAGTGGCCACTGCTGAATAGACAAATGCTTGCCATTACTTTTTTTTTTTTTAAAAGGCTCTCTTTATTTTCCCTTATCCATTTTAACTAATAAGATATGTATCGGTTTCTTATTATTATAATATTTTTTACCTTCAAACTTTATTCTTACCAGTAACTATTAAAGCAGATCTTAAGAGTTTACAGAACTATACAGCAAAGAGACTATTGTAAGATCTGTACACTTAGCTGTTTTGGTTGTCTCTTTAGTAAAATGTGCATCTACAATCTAATAAGTCTGGACATATATCAAATTTTTCTAATAAGAAATAAAGGCTAAATAATTAATCTGTTTTTATTAAAAAATTCTGTTATTGTGATGATGTTTAATACTAAATTACAAATGCAGTGGATGAAAGACATTGTTTATAAGTGAAGCACTGCACATAATTGTTTTTTTTTTTTTCCCCCTGCTATCCAGATCAAAAGCAATTTTTCAACATGCTCTGATCTTTGTTTGGTAATTTGGCTTTACTCCCTTTTTTTTAACATTAGCCAGTTAACCCCTTAACTGCCGCGGGCGTATATATACGCCTTGCTCAGCCGATGCGTTAACTGCCCCAGATGCGCAGCCGATGCGTTAACTTTGCGAATAATTTTAGGTGTAGCAGCGCAAAGCAAATAATAGCAGTTTGGAAGGACGTATACATACGCCTGGGGCAGTTAACGCATCGGCTGAGCAAGGCGTATATATACGCCCGCGGCAGTTAAGGGGTTAAATAGTGTCTTTATTTTGGATTCGGCATGTGGTATGCAATAGCCACACCCTGGATACACATGCCATCTGCAAATTTTTCATTAGTCTTTTTTAACTTTTATAGTGATCCTAACTATTTTCTTTATTGCTCAACTCTTCTCGTGAACTTTTGTACAATCATTGTGAAGGGGTTTCTAAATAATAATAATAATTACATGGAAAAAACACGAAATTACTTGAAAAATTAGTTATAGTGCAGGTTACTTACTAAAAGTATACTGATGCTTGTGGGCAGTTATAGCACTGTTTTGAAAGAGTTAAATTTGGAGTTGACTCGGTGTATTTCAGACAAATGCACAGTGCAGGGGAAAAAAAAGTTCTATATCTTCCGTTGTACTGGACCAATTGATGAAATTCAAATTGTGTTTTTCATGTCTTGAAAGCAGGATTTTTGATATATATTAGATTTATGTATAGCATTATTCTAACCTAGGTATTTTGCTACAAAATTGGACTTTTTCTGAAATGACGTGCCAATTGTTTTCCATATTTTGAGTCTAACACTCAAATTGTGCCTAAATATTAAACTTTGTAAAATTTGGTGCGTCATTTACAGAGAAATTTAAAAAAATTTATCTTGCTGTATTTTTTTCAGCTTGTGCCAAGAATAATTTACTTGGCAAACTTCTTAATGTATAGCTATCTAATTTTTTCTTTTCTTGCATTGCAGACAAGTGGGGGAAAATGTAATCATTCATACTTTAACATAATTTTAAGAAAGTATGTTAACCACATTTGATGTTAATATCGCTTAAAAAAGATGCTCAATTTCAAAATGCACCAATATGCAATTTCATGTATATCTTAGAAAATTTTGAATAAAAGACTAATTTTTTGCAGGAGTGCCTAGAAATACATGTACTTTAAGAGGTACTTTATAGGTTATTATACAAAAATGTTTTTGAAAAATTTATAAAAAATATTTAAAAATACAAATTTAAAAAATAAGTCATAAAAATGTGGAAATTATATTTGGAGTAAACCTAAATTTTGAATTCTGGAAGAAGGAATCAAGTAAGTTTAATAGAAAGAGATATTAATAATATATATCAAATTCAATTAACATTGAGGAGCTAAAATTTGAAGAGCTAATTTTTAAAATATTACTTGTGCGATTTTTTTTACAAACTTTGGCAGTTTGCGATAATTTCAGTCGTAGAATCGAAATATAGAAAAAAATTGGCATGTTATTTCAGAAAAAGTCCAATTTGGTGTCAAAACACCTATGTTAAATTAATGCTATATATCCTAAGTCCCGCTTTCGAAGCATGAAAAACACAAGTTGAATTTCATCAATCAGCCAAGTAGAACGGCAGATATAGAATTGTCCTTTTTTTGCGCAGTGCACATATACCAAACAAAAATTTCAATTTGGTATAACCAACTTACATATTTCAAAGCAATGTATGTTTGAATTAATAGAAAATGCACGAGTAATTTTTAAGTAATTTTTGTATTTATTGTATATTTTCTCTCTCAGGTATGGATGCTTTTAAGAAAGGTTGGTTCACAGAAACAGGAACTTTAAATGAAGATCAAGCACTGTCAGTGGAAGTTGAAAATGTCTTATATCAGAAGAAGTCAAAATATCAAGATATTTTAGTATTTGACAGGTGAAATTTTACTTTTATATCAAATCGTGTTTAATTTTCCTCTATTTTAATGAAAAGGAATTTTTTAAATGCTGTTAATATCATTTGTAAATGTTGTGTAAATTTGTCATATATATCATGTAGAAACATTTTCACTGAAATACATATTTTAGCAGCTGGAACTTTTTGTTTCAAATATCATATCGCTAGACTTGCTCTCAAAATTTTTAACTGGTAAAAAAAATTACAATGTTTTTCTATCACTGAAGAATATTATTTTGAATTTATAAAATGTTTAAGATTTTTTTAATCTAATGCTTGCAAAAGGAAAAAAAAGTAATTATTTTAAAATTAAATTCATTTATCTACTTTTTATAAATTTTTCTGCACTTGGATTATTTAAAAATATTTAGATATGCGTTAAATTCACTTTTTTCTAAATTCTTTTAAAAAATCTTCCAATTTTTAATCTTATGATGTTAATAAGTGTAAGGGTGGATGTTGAGACTATTTTTGTGTCATGCGTTTTACGTCGAAGGTTGAGATAATTTTTGTGTCATGCTTTATACTTCAAAGATTATGACAAGATTAAAAGCTAAAAATTGAGAAAATGCCATGAGAAAACAAACAAACAAAAAAAAAAAAATCTATTCTTAGTATTAACATATAATGACTCATTTTACTGGAAGGTTCTGATGAATATCTGTTATTTGGTGAAATTCGAAATCTGAACGTCCAGTATCCAGACCTCCAGACAGCAAGCCAAAAAATTTATAAATAAAACAGTGAAAAATTTGCCTTTGATATAAAATCTAAGAATAGAGAATATAATGCTTAATAAAAAGGAGAAGCTATGTCATATATGCAATTAACCTTCTGATTGTGATTCCTATATGTTACTTGCCATTGATGTATTGGTTATTGGTTGATGTATTGATGTACAGTCAAAAGTCGTTAATTCGGACACCCATAATTATCAAAACTAAAAACTTTCTGCGCATGCGTCGCGTTGACACATGCGCATAGGCGTTTACGCGTGCGCGTAAGACCTTTTACGACTGCGCATATGAGTGTGCGCAAGTGCAGAATACGTTTTCACGTGCGTGTTTTATGTATAATGGACGTATAAGCTAAAATTATCTAATTATCTATTTCAGTTAATGTTGATGATTGCGTTGTTCCTTAATTTTCGAATTGGATCCGGCTTATTATTTTTTGCAGACTGTAAGAGCAGTTTTATAAAAGTAAGCTTAAACTTTCGATTATATCAAATAGAATTTCCGATATATATTTGTTAATATGTAAAGGATCTAAAGCGAAAGTATGTTTTGAAATCCGAAATCTGTTTATCAATTTCACGCTGCTCGGCGCGTAATGAATTGGAAGTTGATTTGTCAGCACTATCCTTATCTTCAGTGCAGATGTTTTTATTTTATTTGGCTTATAATTCCTTACCAAATGTAGTATTTCATCTCGATATGCTCCGTCTTTGATATGATTTAAAACAAGTTCCTCGTCATTATATTCGCTTCCGATAGCGAAGAAAGTGACAGAGGTTATTGAAAACGAAAAAAATTTCGATTGACAAATTAGTCGGTGTTCTCGACACAGCAATTATAGGACTTGAACAGCGGAACTTTGTAACTGAACAAGAAATTATGTCTGTTTAATAGAATTAAAGAGAAAGTATTATCACATGAAACGAAGCAAAACTTAAACAACTTACATTGAAAGAAATGTTTAATAAAGTAAACAAATAAATATTAAGCTTTTTCTTTTTGAAAATTTTGATACCCTTTAGATCATAATTGTTCTTTATTTCATAAATTACGGTTTCATATTTTTAATTTTAGAATTTCTGCATGCCATCTTAAGAGATTTAAACTGATGATCGATAATCCGGAATCGCCGAAGTCCCGACGAGTCCGGATTAACGACTTTTGACTGTATATGTTACTTGCCATGATGTATTGGTTGACATTGTAGTGATGTTGGCTGGATCACAATTTCGCAATTGCACTTTTGGCACACTCTATGCAATTGCTGCAGGTAATAAATTCTGCTCACCAGTACCTCCCTAAATTCTAAAATATTTGCCACCTCAAAATTCTGCTGTCCAATGTATCTTTTGCATCTAATGGTTCTGTGTTCTAAAGGTGCACCAAAGAGGTTTTCAAAAATACTAATAAAATGTATTTACAAGAATATGTAAGAAATTGAAATAATTGAAGATGCAGATACACTATTAGGCATCTCTGCCTTCCACGTACTACACCCTTAGAATCCAGCCTGCCACTAACTATTGGAACATACACATATCTTCCTGCCACTGGCTATTGGAACGTCCCAGCGCCTTCTAGCTGAATGGCGTGGGAAATATGCAACACTCTCCACCTTAACTCGTTTGAGTTCACTTACCGTTGATTTGTAACAAAATTTACATTCAAGAACCATTTGATATTATATATTTAAAAAAACCCACAAATAGAATATTACATCATTTACAAAGCATCAAAACTGTTCACAATAACTTGATATACAAAACAAATTATATGTTTAACTTCTGAATAAACTTATTCAAATATCCAGTTTACATACAAGTACAATTAAACTATCATTAATACACAGATTGAACATTAACAGGTTGCAACTCAAACTAACACAATTAAGGATTAATTTCCAAATTATACACAAGTTGTACGTTTTATTTTTCCTGTAAGAGTTTGAATAAGAAGAGCATGAATTTTTCCGTCTTTTCCTGGATATAGCTCTAGAATTTTCCCCATCATCCACACATTTCTGGGATAACACATATCAGTAATCAAAACAATATCATTCACTTTAAATGAATTTATTTTACCTGATTGTGGAGAAATATAAGCTGATCTCAGATTAAGTAAATACTCCTTTCTTCACCTGTTCCAAAAATGATTTAAAAGTGTTTGTTGATATTTATATTTCTTTACCAAAGAACTTCTATTAACATTTAAATCTTCATTTTTATGTTTAATTACAGGTAAAGACACTAATCTTTGACCAATGAGAAAATGAGATGGGGTGAGTGGAGAGGGTTCTGAGGGTTGGTTGTATAAATACATGATAGGCCTGGAATTAACCATGGCTTCAATTTCTGAAAAAACAGTTTCCAAGTCTTTCAAAGAAAGAGAGGATTGTCAAACAATTTTCTTTAAGCAAGTTTTAACCATTTGTATCAGTCTTTCCCAGAAACCTCCCCATCATGGACTTTTTTCAACTATAAAATTCCAAATTATACCTTTAGAAGCAAACAAATTTTTAACTTGATCATTATCTATCTGATTCCACCATTTTTCACAATTTGCCATTTTAAAAGCTTTGGCGTTATCAGAATATATAATGGAACATAATCCTCGATAAGAAATAAATCATTGGAATCCTAACAAAAAAGAATCAGCACTTATATTAAGAACTACTTCTAAGTATTTCTTGTCACTGCACAGCTGAATATAAGTAAATAACACTTTGAATTAAATTCAGAACAAAAAATGGTCGGGCAAAATCCAGACTGCATATATGAAATGGTGGATGCTCTTGAATTCTATCAGGTGGTAAAAGGGCAACCACCTGAATTCCAGGTTTCACTTTGAATCGTCTACAAATCAGACAGTTATTTAACACTTTTTTCCACAAATTGATGACCTTTTACAATCCAGAATTGTTCTCTTAAATCTCTTAATGTTGCATCAACACCCAAATGGCCCATTTTAGCATGAGAATCACAGATGAGTAGCTCAACAAATTTATCATTAGATGGAAGAAGCGAAGGATGTTTGGCTCTCATATCGTTACTTGAGAACTGCAAACGTCCCTTTAAACAAAGTAAGTTATCATCATCATGTTCAGGATTCAAATTAAATATATGTGAACTCTTATTGACAGTTCCTTTAGAAAGAAGTTGGGAAAACCTCTGTACCGTAATGTTTGAATTGAGTAGCTTTGATCCAAAAATGCAAAGCTTGCTTGACTTCTGAAACGCATATAGGTCCATGTAATTTTGTAGAATTAGGTTTAGAATTGTACACAAATCTTTTAATCCATGCAGTAATATGCCATAGTCTACCTAGTTCGCTGAAGAACATCCAGTAACGGCAGAGATAAGTTTCCACCACCTAAATTGGTTATCATGGAATTGACCAGTGCAGTCCGTTGTTCTTTCACTATGATGCCTTCGTCACAGATGCTTTGAATAGTTTTTGTGATAAGTTTGACCACTTTGATAATTTTGGGAAAATGATCGTTTCGTAACTTTTGGGGGGACTCATCACAGTTTGGGCAATTTCCCTAGATTCCACTTCATTCCTCAAAAATGTAATAATTTCTGAAACCTCACAATTCACTTCCCTGTTTCATTTCTGGTGAAAATCTAACACCAAATCTTGTGGTAGCAACGTCAATAATATTGGATTCAAAAAACGCCCATATGAAACCTCAGTTACATTTAATGAATGCAAATTTCTTATATTAACTTCTATTTCATCATATAATTTTTGCAAACCTTTTAACATTACATGAAATTCTCACAGGTTCCAAGCTTAATAATTTAGTCATGTAAGAATTTATAATAGAATCAGTTCTACCATTTCTTTTTTTTAAAAGCTCAAGGCATGAGTCAGTTTTTCTCATTTAATTCAAAACCCGCAACAACAGTATATGCAGGACCAGAAAGAAGGGATTTTAAATACTAAAATTTTTCAGTTTTTGCAAGTGAATTATTTGAACCGATTGCACTATCAAAACAGTTTAAGAATTCCAAAAATTTGCTAGAATCATGAAATTTCTAACTTTGGTAAAATTAAAGCCCTGATGGTATTTTCTGAAATACTAGATATGAACTGAAGAAGTTCGTTGAACATTTTCTGGTGCTAATTCTTTAATTTTGTTCTTTAGTTTAATCTTAGCAGACAATATTTTGTCATCGTATTCTTCCAAACCTTTTAATTCACTTTAAAATTTTTCCGGCTCGTCTATTAGTGCTTCCACCTGTAAATCATGGCTTTTTAAAATCTGCTCCTTCGTCTGTAATAGTTCCAGTAATTCTGATAATGAACTTGAGTTTTCGGCAGCTTCATCGAGCTTCTGTACTTGATTAACTAATTTAGTAACACTAGCACGAACATGACTTCTTTTTTCAATTATTTTCGAAAGCTTATCCATATTAACTCGGAACTTAGTTGAAGATGTTGAGTTAATATGGATTAACCGAGTTAATCCATATTAACTCAGAAGTTCAAAAGATCTTACCTTTGCAGTATTCAGAAATGTTACATATCCAAAAGCGTACCTAAAGTATCCAAGCTTCTCAGAATTATTATAATCCAGTAATGCAAAACTACTTCAGATATTACACATTCCCGGACAAGATACACTAATTTTGCATCTAATGGTTCTGTGTGTCTAAAGGTGTATCAAAGAGGCTTTTGAAAATACTAATAAAATTTATTTACAAGAATATGTAAGAAATTGAAATGACTGAAGATACAGGTACATTATTAAGCATCTCTGCCTTCCACGTACTACACCCTTAGATTCCAACCTGCCACTAACTATTGGAACATACATGTATCTGCCTGCCACTGGCTATTGGAACATCACAGCACCCTCTAGGAAATGGCGAGGGGAATAGGCAACAGTATCTCCTAAATACTAAAAAATTTCCTAACCTTTCTCCCTCCCTGCTCGGTGCTCCTCTAAATTCTAAAATTCTAAAGGCAAAGCACCACTGTTGCCATATCTACATGTCATCTTAATAGATGTAAACTGATATTTGAATTCCATAAATTTTTTGAATCCATAATCGTTAGAAACCTGATGATTCCGGATCGTAGATTTTGTACTGTATTTCAGTGTTTTATGGATAATAGCAGAAAAGATTCTGATCTTGTTGGCATGTATGTACAAGCACATTTGTAAAAAAAAAAAAAAAAACTTTTTTTAATAGTTATGGAGAATTTAAAATACATCTTGGTGTGTTATGCATTTCATAAAGCTTATAGCAATTACACAGAATACTGATAAGAATTTTCTAAAATTAGAGTTAACAGCTTCTTCTGCACAGTCTAAATATATCCAAAGCAACAAAAGTTACCTTAATCTGAAGATTCAGAGATGAAGGGGAAAATCAATTACCTAATGCAAAAGAAAACTGTTTTTTTGAAAGGGATGTTGAGGATATAAACAAATTAAAAATGATGCAGAGACTAGAAGGGGTACTAATTTGTTTAAAGCAAATTAACTTGGCAAAGGTGTTAAAATGAAAGCAGTTTATATGAACTGGATATAATAGGTGGAAATTTTTAATGTAATTTATCTTTTTAGTATCTTCTTAAAATGATTGTAATAAATTCTATGTGTAATTTTCTTATTTTGAATTGCTAAATTCTTTCTACACTGTGATTTTAGATCCCTTGCATGGTTTCCTCTTTCAGTGGATATTTTTAAATAGTAAAAACATTTTTTATGTAATCCCATAAATCATGGTTTCTTAAACTTTTTTTAGTCTATCACTTGAGATTTCTTTGCGACCCCCAGGGTTCCATAACTATTGGCAAATCCGACACACGCGTGAGTGAAACTGTCAATTTTTTCCACTTGTACTGTAATATACTACTGCAGTTTTAGGTCATTAACTTTATTTTCTAATTTTAAGATATAGAACAATGCAGTTTTAGGTCATTAACTTTGTTCTACATATTAAAATTAGAAATTAATGTGAAAATTTTAAATAAGTAACAGACAAAATGACAGCGTCACATGCAAAGCAAAGAAAATGAACATTTATATTATAAAAAGAATGCGTTGAAACGTTTTCATTTTTTTTTCTTTGTCTGTATTGTCTTATCTTTATCTATTTCCAGATACATTGTATAAAAATATTTGGTAATTGTAAAATTATTGTAATTTTTGTAATTTTTTAAAATTGTAAAATTTTTGGCGACTCCCTGCTGCAGGTCTCGCGACCCACAGGTTAAGAAACCCTCCCGTAAATCTTTAAAGCATGAGACTATACGGGTAAAATGTTAATGTTTCAAGAAATTTCCCTTTTTCAATGTTAATTAGTTGATAACTTTTAGGCAATTGGTTTTATTTTCGCAGTTATGTTAGATATTAAAATGTGTTTAATGACAATTCATGGTAAATCATTAGAATATTACAAAACTGAAGTCAGTTGCATAGACAATTATTTTTATTCATTTTTCATTTACTGATAGGTCGTTAATTTTTATTCTTTATTGAACATTAAAAGTTATGTATAGAAAAATGCACAAACCTCTTCATAAAAATTGAACTATGGAAAATAACTTATAAAAGCTAAGAACAAAAAATAATTTCACATTCTGTTAATTAGGAGCCTATGTAATTAAAATTTCAAACCTTTTAAGAATATAATTATTATGTTTAAAGAAACTTGGTATTTCATTTAAGAAACATTGAAGTCTTCTAAATATTCTCATGGCAGACTAATTTTAAACTTGGTAAATTTTTTAATTGCTTGTTTATAAAGATTATGACAGCTGTTATATTCATATGTTTTCTAGCAAAAGATTTGGAAGGACATTGGTTCTGGACAATGCTATACAGTGTACTGAAACAGACGAGTGCTCATACCAGGAGATGATAACTTTCTTGCCTCTAAATTGTCATCCAGATCCAAAGAAGGTAATATTTACTGTGCCGTAGAAATTTTTTTAAAATTATGCAAAATTTAGAATTTGAAGTACATTTTCTGTGTTTGAATCCAAGAGCTGTGATATTGGCACAGTTAAAAAATATGACTTGAGTTGTGACTGTTCCTAACATTGTCAAATCATTGTCTTGCATTAGCAGTGTTGGAACATAGTTTAGTTCCGTACTGCACTAACAAATGGCAGTAGTGTCTGTGTTGCAGTTGATATAGAGAGGGTAACACCGCAATTTCCATGATATTGGATTAAAAAAAAATTTGCTCACCGAACTGAAAGTTCTTTTACTCGCAGCTTAATGAAAATAACCTTGATGAAAGTGATTGGGAATGAGGAGTGAATCAAGAGCAGCTAGGAAGGATGGAGCACAAAACAAAATGAATCAAAAAACAGTGGAATTGGGACCAGTTAACGAGATTGCAGCAAAGAACAAAAAGAACTGAACAGTGGAATTGTGGCCGATAAGTTGAGGTGGATAAAGTGAGGTTGGAGCAAAAGAGAATTGAATGATTAGTGGAATTTTGACTGGCTAGTAAGTTTGGAGCAAAAAGAATCTAATAAGCAGTGGAATTGGAAGTGAAGACTGAAAAGAACCGAATGAGCTCTGAATCAGAAGAATCAGCTTGAAATGCTAACTCCTGCTAGTGATTTTTTCAACTGTAGTTTTCAGATTTCCTAAAATCTCCTTTCTACAATAAAATTCTAGAATAAAAATTTTTAAATGTTGGGAAATGGTAAAAATTAAGCTCTCATTTTACCCATGGGAGGATAAACATTCTTTCCTTAAATGGAGAATCTAATTTTTCTGACATATTTCCAATAAGAGTTCTCAGTGAACTCTGAAACAGCTCCTTTTTTTTTCATGAACTGAGCATTTGCTTGCTCGATAAAGTGAATCAGTTGGTGAATAAATAGCAAATCTCTATTCCTGGTAGATTTGTAGCAAAAGCTGTCTGTGAACTGTAAAAGAGTTATCATTCTGCTTTCTGAAGAAAGTAGAATGAATTGGTTCTAGAGCGAATCACCTAATTCTTATTTTTTGGTTTCTGTTGGTCACAGGTAACAATGCTGGCACATCTTAGTTTGTGCCAGGTGTGCAGTTGATCCACACTAATATATTAAAAGTATAATATGTAAATTCTTGTTACCTATGATGTGCATAAGGGAAAGATTGTGCTTACTCTTTAGTTGAAAACAAAATTGTGAAATGAGCATTGAAATTGGATCCCATTGTGTACCCTCTTAATATACCTACTTGATAGAAGTTGGGGGGGGGGACAAGGGAACCTTTTCAAAATTTTAGAAGTGAAACATCACAACTTAATCTAATGAATTACCATGTCGGAATTTTATTTTTATCCACAGTGGAACTGTTGGTATTTACAATATTTTTTTTTTATTAATGGATAATATACAGAGAATTTTGAAGATCTATGGATCTTACCTGATAGCCAAAGCTCACTGTAACATCTTGGTAATTGGATTTACATATTTTAAGACTTACAAAAACTACACCTAATTTCTCAGCATCATGGTATCTATTTTCAGTGGATCCCATCCCATCCAGATCTTTATAGTAACTAAATAGCAGACAAATTATCTGTGGCCTTTTAACTCCTTCCTCTTCCATCCTTACCTCTCTGGAACTGTATTCCCTGAAAAAATAATCACAAATCATTTGGACTAATTTTTGTACAAATCATTGTGGAGTGGTGGTGCCTCCCACTCATCTCTGGTACCTGGGTAGTAAGCCTGGTTGGACTCTTAACCCTTCAGTGCGACGAGCTCCCGAACTACACTCTCGTGAATAGCCAGCGGTCATATTATGATCCTCTCTTTCAAGGAGGGCATGAAAATCTTCATCACATGCACCAAGTGCCGAAAACATCAGGCATCTGTTAAGCATATATTAGGATACTTAGGCCTCTCTAAGGGAGGATATCTACTCCAATCCCCTCCTTTGTGCTCAACTTTCTTAGGGTCGACGATCTTCTGGACCTTGTAAGTAGGAAAATAATCGTTACTTTTATAAAACTTTTAAAGAAACAGATTTTAAAACTATCATTAGTCTCTATATGCAGGAAGAGTTTATAGGCCTTCCAGGAAGCAAAATTATATCATATTGCAATATCTGAGAAGAAATTTGACAAAGTTGAATTGCCAGCTGAGCTATTATTCAGAATTTTACAGCAATCTAAAATTTGAATCCTAAAACTAGGTTCTGTTTTGAAACTGATATGCTGTACTTTGGGGAAATTATTCACTTCTTTCATATTTTGTTTAATGATGAGTATCAAAACATTAAGAATGCCATTTTATAATTTTGTTTTACATTAGTCAGTAGTATGACCAGCTACCTTTAATAAACCCAGCTAATGTAATTTTTGTGGATTCATCTACTAATTAATAATTGAAATGAATCTCATTTCATTACTTTTAAATTGCTTAACCCTTTGCGACTCAATGTTCCACTACATGCAACACCCAAATTAAATCGCTTCTGAAACCTTTAAATTCAACCATAAATAGATAAAAATGCCTTTATAATATACTTTGAACTTTTCTTTTTAAACAGTAGATAGCAGCATATCTCAAGGAGACATTATTTATTAAAAATCCACTTTTTTTCAAGTAATTTTCTCTAATTTTTTAATGATATAAAAATTTTTATTTGGGAAAAAATTAGGCATAATTTTGCTGGCTGTACTCCAAATTATTTGTTCTATATTTTGTTAAATCTTTCATACAAAAACCATACGCAGAATCATTGAATAAACCCGCCAGTTCCATTAGCGGGAACACTGCACGCTTTAGCGATCTCGTGCTGTTACGAATCAGAACATCTGTGCTTAGGAGAGAACATCCGTTGTTTACGTTTTCTGTTTTTTTTTCGGGGGGGGGGGGGGAATGAATTGAAAAAAAAAAACAAAAAAGCAGTATTGAGAGGTGAGGTGTGTTTTGTGTTATGAAAGCCTTAATATTGGCATCTCGAATTTTTTGGGAGTAGTTTTTAGGCGGGAATTTGATTAGTAGCTTGACTCATCTTTACTTAGACCTGCGCGAATTTTTTGCTGTCGCTTTTTTAGTCTCATTCCAGTTTCTTTTCAGTAATTGTGTAGATATTTTTCGTGTATGTATATATTATGGGCTTATTTTTCTTTATTGTTAATATTAATCTTAGTTAATTATTTTAATCGTAGTTGGTTTGTGCTTCCATCAAAAAGGTGCGACTTGCTTTGAACAATTTCACAAAGCTAAGAAATAGGAAAATTTGTAAATATTTTTGTATATAGGACTTTTGTATATAGATATTTATCTCATTTATCTGTATATATTCAAAAATATTGTGTATATCCAGGAAACCATATATACAGCCATAATACAGAGTTTTTTCATTCTTATACAAACGCTTCTACTCATTTTCGTGCTTCACTGCAATGCTTGCTTAGTCGCACTTTTAAAAGCTCTCGCGGCGCAGTGTTCCACCTCATGGAACACCCACAGAATTAAAACGGTAAGTGCAATTTTTACAAAATTTTACTCGAATACTCCTTTAGGACTAAATAAACTGCGTACAACTTTTTTTGTTCAAATTCCGACGTTAACGTATAGTGTGCCGCAAAGAGTTAAACAGCAATGGATTTTATACCATCATTATATACTTGCTACCATGTCCCTTGTATGTACGTATTTGTAATCATTAACATGCATAAGTTGTAGCCCTAATTTTCATTCGTGCTTTTACAAAAAATATGGGGCTTGGATGTGAGAGAATACAGTATTTAATTACACAAAACAAACTTTACCTTTTTATTTTGTAGGTATTGATTATTGGAGGAGGTGACGGAGGTGTAGTGAGAGAAACCGTAAAGCATCCATCTGTTGAACATGTAACACTTTGTGAAATTGATGAGGTAAAACATTTTAAAACTCGGAATTTACAAGTGTAAAAATTAGTATTAATGTTTTCATGTTTGTGATCTTTTTCAAATGCTTATATACATGTTTAATGTGGAGTAGTTATCTATTCTGGTTTTTGTTTTAAATATTGTGATAGAATTATGAATTTACTTTAATCTACTAATCGCATGCTGTATTCTTCTTTAGCAAGTGATTGAAGTTTCTAAGCAGTATTTACCTTTTATGGCTAAGGGATTTGAAAGTCCCAAACTTTCGTTGCATATTGGTGATGGAGCTGAGTTTGTCAAAAACCACCAAGGGCAGTTTGATGTTATTATTACCGATTCGTCCGATCCAAAAGGTAATGTTACTTATTTTAAATTAGAATTTTTTATTAATTTATAATCTTACGCAATATTGTAGTATAATATTCAGTTTTTAAACTTCATTTTAACATCAGAGACAGCTAGTCTGTGGAAATAATGTGGATCATGGGCAGATGTTTTAAATATAATAGCACCGCTTAATGTGATCGCATCTGTCCATGGATATTTTTGCTAAATGATAACAATGAGAGAAATATCCTTCAAAACAGTAATGAAACAATCTAATTTTATGTAAAAGTGTAAAACATTTAAATAGGTATTTTCACATAATTTTAATTAGGAAAATAAAAAAATTATGAACATTCATTACATTTTTAGTGCAAAAGTTAATTTATTAACTATTTGTAATGTGTGTATAAAGTATGTGACTGATGCTGTGTCCTAATCTTAATATTCGGAAGGTAACACTCATTAGAAGAAAACATGCTAAGTTTTAAATGGGGCACCCAAAAGTATGTAAAATATGAATTATCCAACATGTATATATATATATATATGTATATATATATATATATATATATATATATGCAATGCCGCCCAACCAGTATAGTGCTTAGCAACGCTGACTGCCATGCCGAAGGGCTTTGGTTCGATTCTCAGAGAAGGCGTGGATGTTTATAAATGTATGGTATCTGTGTGGCATAGGGGCACTTTAAATATGCAACAAGCAAAAAGCCCTCAAGGGGTTGGTGGTAGGGGAGGTGGAAGACCCTCGGACACATTCCTCCCATCTGCTGTCTATCAAAATTGGGGGTGAAATCTTGCAATTTATGATCTTTTTTCTTATTTGTATTTTCTCATTCTTATTTTTTACATTTAACGACATTTGATAAGGATATTTTTTTTCTTACCTTCCTTGATGAAAATCCACAGGAATGCTTGGAATTCTTTTCCATTTTTATCACACAGAAACTTTATTTACAGCTATGTACAACAATTGTATGCTTACATTAGAACGTTCATCATTTTTCTCTGGTTACCACTACATCTATATCAAAAATCTGCAATGCGTTAAGAAAAATGTAACACGCTAAAAGTAGAGAAAACTGTGCCCTCTCGTGGCCAGCTTCCGTGTTACAGTCAACTGTCACCTGTAATGTCCTTAATGCTGTTGCCAACGACAGGCATAAACTTGTGCTCCTTGCAAAGAGGAATTTGTGACATGCTTTTATGTCTTTGTTTTAAATAAATTCCATACATAATTGTATTAAATATGATCATACGTATATTAAATTTTTTAATTACGTTTCTTTAAATGAACTGTTGACAAAATTATATAAAATATTATAAATACATATGTATATTAAATAACTTGTATTGTGTAGGTATTAAATGAATTGCCATGTACCGTTGTCAGTTTCGCTTTTGCTCTTGCTTAAACAGTTATATTAATTTGGAAAGTGTTACACATTTTTAAAAGTAAATGAAAAATCAGGCTTTTGGAAGTTGAAACTTAAAAATTCTTCTTTTCAAGATAAAAAGATAATTTTATATACACGCTTTTGTTATTTTTAAGAAACAATGAGTACTCTCTTATTTTGCTCTTTGAATTTGGCGGGACAGTAAGCTTGCAAGTTCCCAGGGGGATAATATAAGTGCACCTCTCGGGCACTTCTTACACTGCACCTCCCAGGGAATATGAATTAAAATTTCAGCTACTTGCGTATTAATGAAAACATCTTGGTGCAAGTGGTAGTTTTTTGTGCCCTTTTTTAAAAAGACTCCAGCACTATCAATATTTCTTCAACATATGAAGAGAAAAACTTGCATTCTTCTTCTAGTTTTTTAACTTTTTTTTGCTATTCTTCTCTTGAAGTACACAGAGATCTGTTTTTGCTGCCCCCCACCCCCCCAAAAAAATTGCAGAGATTCTGCTTTGTCATGCAATCCTCGACAGTGGTGGCTATCTACGAAATGCATTTCCTCGTTGTTTCCCTTTAGAAAATTTTAAGCAAAATTCAATATTCTTGCAGAAATTTTAGCACAGTTTCTTCTACTTAGCAAATCCACAAGCTCGTGTTTTAAAACTAGTTTAAGGCAAAATATATCATGATTTGTTTATAAAAACCATTTGAACTTAAAATAGAACCAAAAAGAACACGTACGGAAATAACGGTGTTGCTTGTCTGAAGGATTGTTTTCAGCATGGTTGCCAGAGTTTGGCACATCCAAAAATTTTGTCGACTTCTACTCGGGTGGTTGCATTAATACAGAAGTACCAAATTTCACTATAGAACCAGTCAAATTCCTCAGTGCTAGGACTTATGTCTGACATACCATAAAGAGTGTGGAACTTATGAAACCAATGAACAAACTGGTAATCGTGCTACCCACACAGATGGCTGGTGCTATTACTTTCCAGAAAACCATAACCTACCATTTTGTATATTTAAGAACTAGGCTTGTGTATTTTATGCCTTTGGAGTTGAGACTCTCAGAGTATGCATTGTTTAGAGAAATCTGTGGGGTTGAGACTTTGTAAAAAGCACAATGTTCTGGGGTTGTGAAGCACTTATTGAAGAAACAAAGCATAGAGGACTAAAAATATTCTGTGTGCTAGAATATCCAAGACTCCTGAAAATGCAGTGTAAGTGAAGTTTGTGTTGAATGCTGAGTAACATTTGAATGCAAGATTAGTCAGAAGTGCAATGGTTGCTTTTCCAAAATTGGACATAACATTGTATCATTCTTGAGTGATGAATATAATATATATAATGCTTTAATGTGCACAATGTCAAGGCTATGTATGATGCATTATAGTGTAGGTTTTTGATGTTTTTGCTTAAAAAAATTCAAAGAATTGCATAAATTTGCTGGTAAAGAACGACTTTAAAAGCAACTGAAAATCTAATCTAAAAAATTAGTGGATTGAAGTTTACTCTTCCCATTTGTTCCCAATGATGATATTGCTGATGCGATTTAAATAGGCAAAAATAAATATAGATAACAGAAATAGGCATTTCTATTTGGCAGAAAAGTACCACGTAATTTAATACAACTTTGATAAAATTTTTATTAATGTAGTTATATTAATAAAAACTACATCAATTAAATTTAAATTATCTTTTTAAGAAAATAAGATGAAAGATGTTTTTGTAAAAAAAAAAAAAAGCTTTTATTTAAAACTCAAAATTATTAATGTACTAGAAGAAATAATTTGTCATACAGTTTCATGGGAACGAAAAGATTAAATAATTCTCTTTGTAAAATTCATCTATAATTTTACATGATGACTAGCAAAAATATGGGCCATCCTTAATAAATTTATGAAGATAATGACTTATACTTCTGACAGTGCAATTCAATTAATGTGTGTTATTTGGGAGCCCATGCTTTTACTATTCGTGATGCAAAATTGTAGATTTTCTAACTAGAATTAATCTCTTGTCTTCATGAAATCATATAAATTATCTTTCTTTTAATTATTTTAAGAATTTTAAATTAAAGTTTATTTTTTAATTTTTTAACCTTATTTTAATTTTACCCGAAAATAGTTTTATAGACTAAAAATAATCTTAATAGCACTCTATCAATTAAATTGAGTTGAAAAATCACTTTTTTTTTACTTCTAGCAATTGTTACATAAAATGATCAATAAAATAAGAGTGATTTTTGAAAATCAGCCAAAAATTCAGAAATTAAGTTAGTTTTCATGGAGATTTAAGATTCTTTTTTGATCTAATCAGTGACATCAAAAGTAAAATTCTGATATTTTAAGTTTGTTCATTAAATGAAGATATGTGCAAAATAATCATCTGAACATTAAAAAAAAATGAACATTTTGAAAAAAAATTGCTCTACAACATTGCAATCATTGTGAAAGTTTGAGCAGTAAGGCAAAAATGCCTGTTCATCACAAGGTTTGACATAGAAGTGATTATCTCAAGACTACAGTAGGTAATATTTGTGTTGAATATGGTATTCTGATCATTCATGATATCATAGCGAAAACTGTTCCTTTTAATCGAGCAGACTGTGTCTCGGTGGGTAGGATTTGAAAACTGAAGGTCAGAGTTCGAAACCCATCAAATGCAAGTTACCTAAAACTTAATTTTGGTAATATGAATTGTTACATCTTATATTTTTTCTCACTGTAATTTCTGTATGTCCTGTAATCCATTATATGCTTGCAAAAGAATTCTCATTGTGTGCAAATGGGCTATAATTGTTTATTTTCTAATTTTTCTTTAACGATTTAAAATTCCTTTTTCCATTTCAGGGCCAGCAGAATGCCTTTTTAAAAAGCCTTATTATGAATCTTTAAAACAAGCTCTTAGGCCTGGAGGAATCATATGCTCTCAAGGTACATTGTTGTTTTTCATATTAACAAAAGCAGATTTATTTTTATATTGCTCCAAATTGCACTGTCTTCTACCGAAATTGCTATTCTTGTAAAGTAAAAATATTAGGAATGATTGAACAATATTATTTGAAAAAATATTACATAGAAAATGTATCGTAAAGTAATCGCTCACGATGACCACCTGTGGTGGTCGTCATGAGCGACACTGAGAACATAAATAATGGAACATGTTTTTTAAGGCAACCATTTCCACCAAATTGCAGATTTATAAAGTGGATGGTCCATCATCTCACTTGAACTTTTGATTCCTCATTATCTTAAGGTATAGGGCATATTTATTGTTTTTAAAAACATAATTAATGATTTGGAAACACCTTGAATGTAGTTCCTACTGCAGTTGTAACCACATAATTCTGCCTTAATATACAAAACTAAAATCTTGCAGAACTGTGGACGATAAAGAAGTTTTAATGCCCTGTGAGTTCATAACATTATTCAACTAGTGTGAACTATTACATTGTAACAATTTTTCATAATTTAATGGGGAAAAGATGTAAATGTTTAGAATCACATAATGCAATAGATGAATGCTTCTCAAACTTTTTTCAGTTGGTGACCACGCTTAAAAATTAAAAATATTTTATGGATTATTTTATTGTCCTCTTTAAAGTTAATAAGAGAGCTGTATTTGTTTTTAAGAATTCCATTTATTAAGGCTTAGGGTAATCTTGATCTTATTAACTAAAAATTAAGTGTTGATACTTGCATTCATGAGAAGCATCGGCCTACCAGTTCTTGTACTACTGTTCTATGCTTGGATGCATGCTGATAAGCTTAAGTTTGAGATTGGCACACACATGAATGTGATTTCAGTGTTTAGTTTTCATTTGATATTTCATATGAAAACCTATATTCAGTTCAGTGCATTCCGTTTTCACTGGTAATGAGGTCCTGTTGCATTACAGAGTTCAATTAACCATTCTTTTATTCAACAAGTTTTTTCAGTATTGTATTGCAAGGAATCACAAACCCTTGAAAAATAATTGTGATCACTTTTGACATACAAAATATGTCATTGCGTGATTTTTCTTCAGCAAGAATGTCATTTTTTACTAAAAAGGATTCTAAGATTGGAAATAACAAATTTCTGTTTTTTTTTTTAACTAACCCACAAACCAAGTTTCCCGTCAGACCTTTTTTATTTCTCATGGGAAGTGAGAACAGTCAGATAATTACTTTGTAGACTGATATTAAGTTCATTTAGTTTTGAGAATAGTACATCTGAAAGCTTAGACAGTGTACGTAGCCACATGCCATCAGCAAGAAATGACTTAAAATCTTGTTACTTAAATAACGGGACATTCTTGCAAACCTAAGAGAACCAGAATTTGAGAACCGATTCAAAAACCACAGTTTGAGAAACTTTGTATTAGATCGTCCACCAAATAACATTCAGTCAAAGCAATATGTTGGACAAGTCTGATTTAGTGCTCAACAATTGTTTAATAATGCGACATACTATTCAGCAGGTTCTTATGTTATTTGACCTGTCAATTACCTAAATTTTTTTGAATAATCATTTGGACTTGGAGCACATTGCTTCTCAGTTTTAAAATGTTAAATTTTTACAAAATTGTATTCAGATAGCTCAGAGAATGCTTTCTCAATTGAAATCCCTCTTGAAACACGCGTCTATACTTTTGACAATAAACAGCATTGTCAAGCAGTTGAATGTGTGACATTTAAAAGGAGAAGAAAAAAAGACAATTTGAAAAAGCTTTAGTTGTGCATTATGAATTTCTGTTAACTGATTAGTGGCTGCCCAGCTGGCATAGGGATTAGTGATACTGATTTCAATACCAGTGGGCCCAGATTTAAATCTCTGGGAAGATTTTAAGCGTACAATGATTGTGTGGCAAAGAAGACATCCAAAATAAATGAGCTGAAATCATCTTCAGAGTTTAGGGGTGAGGGAGACTAGGACCATAACCCGAGGTGTTGTTCCTCGGAATTCCAGCTTGGGCAGCGGCTTACCAGTTAGCAAGGCCAATCTGTACCTGATATACCTAGATGTTGGCCTTGTTTCAGTCTGTATTTTTCAACTGCCCAAACAACCAATAAAAAATGTTGTGTTTTGTAACATTTGTGACATAACTGAATTGTGGTGTGATAATGCATAAGTTTTGCATCATGATAATGCACCTATTTGTGAATTTTTCCCAAAGTTCAACAAGTATGGATTTGTAATCTCTGTTCATCTGATATAGACTAAACTCTGTTATTTCTAGGGCTAAAACTGCTGCTTCTCAGTCACTTTTGTGTCTGTTAATGCAATAAAAGAAAATACAGGATGAATCCTGAAGTGATTTCATTAAAATGACTTTAAATTAGGTTTTCAGAATTAGGAAAAAAATCATTACGATTTGAGGGGATGTAATAAGTACTGAATAGTAAGATTGAAATCTTTTAATTGCAGTAGTAGGAACTTTTATGCTAACTTTTTTTTTGGGAGGAGGGACTAGCTGCCTAAAATAGTTATTTATAAAAGAAAGGAAAAATATATAATTTTTAATGAGTCCAGCTAGTGTAATTTCACGTGTGTATCTGGTACTTATAAACAGAGATGAACTACATTTTTTGCTTTTAAATCGCTTTATTTGTTAATTTGTGGCAAAGATTTAATTTAAAAGAAAAATATCTTGCATTTTGACAAATGGCAACACATTTCTATTGAATTGCTGAGTTTGTTTATTAAATTTGAAACATGGGTATTTTATGCTTTACTTAGTTACATTGCTTTTAAATCAGTGATTTTTAATGAAAATACATTAAGTAAGCATGAAATGCAGAATAAAATAAATAAATAAATAAAAAATTCAAAAGATGTACACATGTTTAAGTAAAAGATTGTGTATTTAAAATTTGGTAACTCTACATGTCACTATTTTGTACAATGTGAAGAATATACAACATACATATTCAATAAGATATTAAGTCATTGATTACTATAAAATATGAGATCATGCAGTAGAGATTGGATATATACAAATAACCAATATACCTAATGTTACAAATTATAAAGACACTGGTAATCACCAAAGAATATCATTGAGTGGCATTTACCAGAGCAAAAAAACTAGTTTAATAATTATCCGATTCCTCAATGCAAATTCAGAATATCTGGTACGCAGTTTTAATATTAAATATCTTGGCCATTTTTATTACAATTTTCCTATTCAAGAATATTGTTAATTTTAATGTATAGCACTGTATTTAAGAAGTGTTTACAGTTCCTTTAACTTTAGTTTTGTTTTTTATTAGGTGAATCTTTCTGGTTTGATCTTGAACTCATGTCAGGTATGGTGAAAATATGTAAAACACTATTTCCAGTTGTAGATTATGGTTCATCTTACGTCGCTAGTTACCCTGGAGGGCAGATAGGCTATTTGCTTTGTAGTACATCTCCGGTAACTCATGTTGTTATTTTCTAGATGTATTAAGCTTTTTATTGGTATCAAATAAAAATGGGAATATTTGATTTTAATAACATATTTACACAAAATTTGTTTGTTTTAGGAAACAAATTTTAGGGAACCTCTTCACAAATTTTCCTCCGAAATGCTAAGAGAGTTAAAACTGAGGTATTATACTCCTGATGTACACCGTGCTGCCTTTGCTTTGCCCTTATTTGTAGCTGAAGTAAGTATGTCACATCTGTGCATATGGGTTTTTTGACAAATGAATTTGCTAAGCAAATGACATTTCTTGTATATACCATTAAATTTAAGATTATTCATGGAGCATATGCAAGGTTTTTTAGGTACAACTTAATTTTCAAAGGTGGTTTAGATTCCATATACTGTTTCTTTATAAAAAAGTGCTTTTCCTAAGCTTTGTACTTTAGATTGAAAAAAATCTGCATTTGAATGCTTAAAATTGAGGTAGAAACAATGACATTTCAGGGTCCTAAAAAAAAGGCGGTCAAAAATTTATGTAAATAATCCCTAAATATTTCAGAAATTAATAACTTACTTTCGTAAGTGCTGTTTGTATTTAGCAACATATATCATATGTGTGACAATATACAACTTGGAGATTATGTAATGCTGGGGGAAAAAAAAAAAGCTTGCACTGCATTAGCATCAAATAAGATTTACAAAATCAAAGTTGCCCACCAAAATATTTCTGTATTTTATTGTTGAACAGTATTATAAAGGTTATTTGGCAGAATAGTTTCAAAATTTTGTAGTGGCATCAATGCAATTCAGATTTTAAAAATTGTGATTTGTTGCCATACATCTGAAATTGGCAATAGTAAATATGATTAATAATATTAATTATAATTTAATACAATTTTATCAACATTTCAACAGAACTTATTTAATATATTGATTGTATTTAATAAACTTAACATAAGCAATTTATTTAAAATAACTGTGTATATATAAACATGCTGGAAAATTCTGTTTTACCTAACATCATTTTGCTAGAAATTTATGAAATACATTTCAAAGTAAATTGGAAAATTATGTAATGAGGATGTAAAAAAACATATCCTGTGAAAATTGCTGCTAGGATTTTATATGTAAATATTAAATTAAAATTAAAACTAATCAAGCAAACTTGATTTAGGAAAACTGTGTCGTTAAATATCAACTAATTATTTTCTGGTAAAAGTAAGGAAAAATTAAAAGAATCAATAATTTGTTAATAAAGGAAATAGTGTTCATGCTAATTGGTTTACAGTAGCAACTTTAGAAAATAAATGGCCAATTTGTTAATCAAACAGCTAGAAAAATGTATACAAACTTGAGACACTGACATTTATACACTGACTTTTTTCTCGGACATCTGTCTCATTCCTTTCAGACAAAGTTTGAGAGTGAATTTTATGCCTTTGGAAAATCTTCATAGGTCATAGACTATTCCAGCTTTTAATAACTATTTAAATGAAAGCCAGTGGAATTGATTATCTTTTAAAGTTAGTATACATTGTAGAGTTCAGGCTCACTTCTGTGTAAAAACTGGGATAGTAGTAACTGCACAAGAGAAGGGTTAAAAGTACCCTTTCTTTAAAATTTACAATGAGTCAACTCGACGCTAAGAAACTATGCCTCTGCTTGGGCGGTAACTAAAAATCAGATAACGAAACTAAAAGTTTGAAGATATTAACAAGTGATAGAACTTAACTACAGGGTTCAGCGAGATCCTGTTTGTTAAACCCCCTTTGAAACTAGTGGCAGCAAGTAAATGCAATTAAGTCACGTGAACCAGCTATAAGCAAACTTTTAAACAGCAGAGGTGGCGGCTGTAGCCTGTCTTCTTTCCTACTGAAAACTTTTCTTCAAAGTTTTCAGTTTTTAAACTGTTTCTTCAAAGTGGAAACTTGCATTCTTTCACGAGTACTATAAAATTTGGTTAATCTTTGGATTATGGTAGCGAAAATTTGGCGACCAACCCTGCTAGTTTTTGTTTGGATGTCATTTTGTTCTCACGAAGTAAAGGCATGTTTTGTTTTTTTACTCAACATTTTTTTCCAACAATTTGCTAGCTGAATTACACTTATGCTAGAACTTTTATGGAACAAAAGTACTTAATCATGACGAAGATTAGGTGTGAAAGTTGGACATTGTGCAGAATCACCCACTGCTTGCCGTGTTTTTAAGAATTGCACATACACGGTATCATCCATGTACACGTCCACCTATTTTCACTTAAAAAAAATCCCAGAATTGCACAAAAATGGCATTGCGCACACTCTTGACTTTATCCGTGTACACTGTTAAAGTCTTAGCTAGTAACCTTTATCGCCAAACTACCTGTTACCATATTCCAAAGATTATCCCAAAATTTAAATATTCTGGCAGTGACAATTAGGAGAAGGCTGATAGGAAAGCTTAAAATTAAACTTGTTAGTTAAACCAAATCCCTACAATGTAATACTTCTTTTTGGTGCTGTTCTATTTCGTGCAAATATTTTTGATTCATTATAAATCGTAAAGTCTTAATCCTGGAGATTTACAATGCATAGATCTAGATAATCCACAAACTTTCACTGTAAACAGATATAAATTTTGCATGATGTACTTGCTTTTTTTTTTTTCCTTTCAGCAAATGGGACTGAAGTGGCAAGTTGGTAATACAGAGTCTGACTGAAGATCTACAGACTGACTACTCCATTCGCTGCATTTCAAATAATTTTGTTTTTGTATGATGGATAAGTCTTAGTTTACTTACTACTTATAATGCAGTTATGATTAGTAATATGTATTTACAATTTTTCAAAGTAAAAAATATATTATATTTATTTAATTGTTAATACTATTTTTCGATTCCAGTACAATGCTTAAAAACTACACAACAAACAAAATTTTGCTTGGTACGTCAATGAATTACCTTACTTGTATAAATATAAAACTGCATGTTGTTTAGTGACAATGAAATTCCACTAGACAGTGGTTAATTTCTAACGTGGAATAAAATCTGTTATTTACTGTATCGCAGAAAAAAAGGCAACAATTTATATTCTGTATAAAGTTAGTAACATGTGAGGACCATATCTTAACATGTAATTTTGATATCATACTGATTATATAATCCAAATATGGACCAAATTTTTTGCTAGATATAGAAAAAGATTATAGAAGTCCAATAATTTTCTTTACATTGATGAAAATTTTATAGCTTTTATCCATTCAGCTGTTCATTATTATTAAATTTTCTACCATTAAAAGGAATTTGATATCAATTTAGATGGTTTGCTAAATAGTATTATACCAAAATTAACATTTTCTACCAATTTGTGAAGTATATTTTATATGCTTTGTCCAGTATTCAGGGATATATATTTTTATAATTCAGTGCATTTGATATTCAGACTTATGTAATATAATTTTTTATATTTCTAATGTCACTAATATGAAATTATTTTTAAGGCTGCTGATTGTAAAGTAAGAATAGCATGCATTGTAATTTTGTGTTCAGCTCAGTTTCTGGTTTGAATAAAATTTACTGTTTTATAAAATATCCTCTTATTCTGAATTGGAAATTTTTGGCAAAATTGTTGAATGCACGAACACTACCTCTTTACAAACTCTTAATTACACGAAAGTAACAATATTATTTGTCTGTTATATTAACACTTTTAATGCCGAACGATAATATATTATCTGATGCCACTTTGCTATTTGTATTACAATATATATATATAAAATGGTCTATTTGCATTGCAAATGAATTAAATTGTTTTGGTGAATTGGATTTTCTTGAAGATTTTTACATTCAAAGATTTAGCTTGTTTAGTTAATGAAGTCCAATCCAGTCCTTCCTAATCCTTTTAAGATTAATTTCTATTACTGCCAACAGATGGCACTACCTTCTTGTAGCTCCAAATTTTAGAGTCTAAGTCTTGCTGCTTTCCAGAAAGACCTTGGACCATTCACCATAATGTGTGATGTAACAGATTGTACATTTTATTCTATACTTATAGTAATCGTGACATAAGATATGGAAGTAAAGGCCTCCGGGTCGAATATTTTTCCATGAATGAAGATCTCTACTTCTTTCTTGGAGATTTCTTTGCTTCTGATGAAGAGGGACATGTACCAGAAGCAAGAGTGTTCTTGACTAAATCGGCATTAAGTCACCAAGGTTTAGCCAATCATTTAAAATTTGTGGGGGTGTGGGGAGGGAGACTCATATAGATGTAATTTTTTTTTAATGATTGATTTTCAGCGTAATCAACAGATTCAATTTATTCTGGGCGGGGGATTTTTTTTTTTGCCTGTTTACATTAGCAAATTCTCTTCCAATGAGGAATATTCTTAGAATATTAAGAACTGAAGGTACAGCATCTAATAATTCCCAGAAACTTTTATGTTATGGTTTTCACCAAGAATAATTCACTTGGTGGAATTTTTAATTTATACTAAATTACTTTTCCTTCATTCTCTCAAATAATTCTAAAGTGTGTAAACAATATTTGGCATTCTCACTTATGCCAAATTTCAAGACATGCCAATATAAAAAGTCTCATATATTTTATCTTACAAAATTTTGAATAAAAAAAATTGAATTTTTAAGCTAAAATAGTTCAAATCTAGCCATTTCTCCTGCCACTTAATTCTGTGCGTATCTCAAATTTCAGAGTGACCTATGTAGCATTATCTAGGGTGTCACCTACTCTTGCATTACATTACAAACTAGTATTTCTGGACACATCCATACTTTTAGAGATGATTAGAGGGTCACGGATTGAAGAAACATTTTACAGGGTTCCCACTCAAACAGGAGAATAAAATTCCCCGACTTTTCCAGGTATGTTTCGAGAAAATTCCAGTCTATCCGCGTAATGTACATTGGCTGTGCTAAGAGGTAAATTAATTATGGTATTACTTGTATTGTGTAGCAAATTCACTTAATTATTCCATAAATCCCAGCGGACATTTATTCTTGGTATACTTGTTTGATAATTTTATTTACTTTTCCACTTAAGAAACTAAATAAAATTTAAGATATATACATTGGATAACAAATGTACGTTTTATTTAATTATTACTCATGATCATGACTAGTTCAACACAAGGCTAATCCAGTTTTTATAAATCACAACGCAATAGTTAGGTTAGATTTTAGGTAAATTTAATTTGTGTGAGGTGTCTTTTTAAAAGGCACCTTAACACTTGAAAACACAAATATAATTATAATAGGAGTTGTTTTCTCCACTAAAGATTGAGATTAGAATCTGCCCAATCTGGAATAAAATAAGGCTTTTTTTGCAGACATTCTGCAGCTAAACGAAAGAAAGAAATCTATTTAATGATATTTTTTTAATAAATTGAGGTATTTATATTTATTTCGCAGCATACATAAGGAAAAAATAAGTGCATTAAATTTCGTGATGGTATGTCATCATACTGCTAGAATTAATTTCAGGATTGTGCCAGAGAAAATTTCCTAAAATTTGGAAATATTATTTACTAATGATAAATAAATTTAGAGGGAAGAAGCAATGATATGAATAACATAAAAATTGAATTAGAATAATCAACGATATTTTACTGCAAAATGACAAGGTATTTATTAAAAGAAAAGAAAAAAAAAAAAAAAAAGGTTTAAAAAGATTTTGCGGTAAAATCCTACTATACGTTATTACGGCCTTCGCACAATTTTGAAAATTGTCGCCAAGAACAAAATGAGCCGTTTACTGCTCATCATCATGTCGCCAAATCCCGCTGTACCATACACTTTTGTCATAACTGCCCTCTTGTTCAAGGTTTTCTCCCGAGCTACCAACCCTCTCTTCAGTATGCATTTTCTGCATGAAGTTGTTCTGCTGAAGTTAACCAATAAGTAAATTTTAAGAATCAAAATTAATAAATGAAAATGAATTATAATTCTCCAGCTATTGCCCTGATCCAAGACTCTATTACACATGCTTCTATATTTTTGTTGCCACATATATTGAGAAATTTTTCACCTAAATACATTGTTCCAAATGGCATAAAAACATAATATGCAAGAAGCATTTTTGTATACATAACTGAAAAATTGAAGCTATTCTCACACATGTACGTCACTCGTGGCTCATATTGCAGATGTTAGAAAGCCTGTGCATGAACGAGGCTTCGGATTAACTTTCATACATAACTGAATGGATCTTTGCCCTTTTTTAGTTAATAAACACTATTCAGCTATTGTGATTTTCATTTTGACTCGTATTCTAGAAGTTCTGTAGAACAGTTAAGACCACTGTTCTATTATATTCAGTATTATTTTGTGCTAAAGAAAACATTCTCCAATTGTTACATGAATAACATATTAAGAGGTCATCTTTGTCATTAACCACTTACTAAATACTCAAATTGATATACTATGTGGACTACAATATTTTCATTTGCACAATTTTGGGAAGGCATAAAAGCACAGTAAAGGGCCATTCCCACTGGGGTTTATCTGAGCTGAGCCAGTTCCATGTGTCGACTAACTCCGCTATGCCTGCAGTTCAGATTTTTCAACTTGCTGCCCTATGGGAAAAACTGGTTTTGGAAATTGGTAACGGAGCTACATCCGTTGTCTCCATTAGCTGAGATAAACCCCAGTGGGAATGGTGAACTCTTTATGATTCAACTTGAAGAAACCAAACTCAAGCGACTCACCATTTGTCCATCAACACAGTTGTGCCACAAGAAAGCTCTAATCCTGGACATGCGATGAGAAAGGTGTTGCACAAGGGTTCCAGTTGCATTGTGTCAGAAACAGCCAGAACTAGTTCACAGGAAGAGACTGATCATTCATCAAGACACCACCAGACCTCGTATGGTGAAGAAAACCAAGCAGATGTTTAACACTCAGATGGAAAATATTACCTCACTTCCATAATAATTTACACGAGCGATACTTCCAAAACCAAGATAAGCCAGAAGAGTTTTACTTTGGTTTATTACAGCATTTCTTCCCGATAAAAAAACTGTTCTGTAGCAACAACAAAGAAAACACTTGTGGATATTTTTAATTTGAAAAATTTCTAGATATTATAGCTAATTTACATCAATATCCTTCTCTTTAACATCTTATCTAGATTTGTTTCAATAAACAAATCAATATTCCCAATTAATAGTCATTGCATCATTTCTTAATATTTCAACAATGTACCTTTGAACATTTTTTTAAAATCAATTTCTTTTCAATGAATTTCCTTTTTAATTTAATAACATTTGTTATTTGAAGAACTACTTGTATTTAGAAAGTATAGAAGAAAATTTTATTTCATATGAAAATTTAAAGCAATTTATGACAGGTAATTAGGTATGGCATGGTGGACTGAGATATGGATTATGAATCTTTTGATAAATCATCAGTTTTCAATTTCTTTGATTGCTTCAATGCTTATGTCTAGTTGAGAGATAGTAAAATAAAAAGATATAAATATGTTAAGAGAAAGACTTCTGGGATTAAAATGAAAAAATTCAAATAATTTTGTTTCCAATGGTTTTCCAAAAGATAACATAAATTCATCACAAATTTCCTATAAAGCACATTCATTGTATGTTCAATTTAAAAGATCTTTCAAGGTATAAATTCAAAATAAAAATTACCCCTCTCAACTTTGTAAAAACAGCCAGATTTTTTGTGGAAAAGAAGTGTAAAGTGATTTTTCAAGAGAAAACTGATATACATTTAAATATTCTAAAGCAATTACATGGGGGGGGGACTCCTATGAAAAAATATATAAGACAATGAAATAATTGCAGTAGCATTTAAGTGTTTCAGAAACTGTCCTTTACAGCATTTATTATACTGTTTATTTTTCAGAATTAAAATATTCCAATGTCACCAAAATGGAAAAGTAATGTCACTTTAAATTAAGGCAGGAGAAAATGTCTAATTTTAATGTTACTTCTTAAATGTAATTTTAATGTATTATCATTATGTTTATAACATATAATGATATGACTATGTTAAGTAAAATGTAATAAAATCAAAATTCTGCATACAAACTGAACTTTAAATTGCCGAAATGTTAGTAACTCACTAAACTCAGTGCCACCTAACAAAAGACCTCATATCCCCAAAAGGGAAAAGTTGCTCCTGATGCAATATTTTAAGAATTCTATTTGCAAAAAAGAAATTATTTTAAAAAGAGCCTCTTACCTAAAACTTGAGTATCCACCATTTATATTGAGAAGTAGGAAAGAATTCAAACATTAACCCATCAATACACATTTATGAATGCATCGCTAAAGATTCCTCTGAAATGTTAAATCGCACTCGAAATAATAGCATGAAAAAACAAACTTTAATGTCCAACAAAATAAGGACCTTTCATTTTTATCGAAATTAAGGATCAAAACGCATTTAAAAAAAAAACTTAAGGACCATACAAACCCTGAATTTCAATAAAAAATATATAGCCACAATGGTAATAGAAAGATCTAAAACAATCATGTTAAACTCAGTCAACACAAAACAGTTACATATAATATTTATTTAAAAGATGAAAACAAAAAAAATTATTCATTGTCTTCTTCATCTTCCTCGTCTTCATTATTAATCTGGAAATATCTCAGCTCATATGAATCTTTAGCATTTGCCACCACTCTTAACCAGTCTCTTAAATTATGCTTCTTCAAGTATTTTTTTGTAAGATATTTCAGATACCTACGGAGAGGGAAAAAAAAGTCTATACCAATATTATAATTTTTACAGGAATGCCATTCAAGGATAATTTCACTTGAATGTAAATGTCAGCAAGTTATCAACAAAGACTATACGAATCGGACATTACAAATATGTCTTACAGAATTCCACAAAATATTAGATTTAGTTTTTATGTCCATATGTTGCGCATGAACCAGCCATTACAGTTTTCAATCTTCCTTGCCCCATGTACCCCTCCCACATTCCCCTCACCTTGCTTTCTAAAATTAAAAAATAAATACACATTTATTTTTTACACATGCTTTTTAAATGTAATTTACAAATTAAGCAACAAAAAGTATAGAAAATACTGAGAAATACCAAAACATGCACAAAAGTAACCTTTTATGTTCATAAATTAAAACTACACACTGAAGAGACAAAATATCATTGTACCAAATGTCTACCCAGCCATCACACAAAGTTGTGATATTCCGACATGGTGGCAAAGAATATGTATTGTTAAGAATGAAAGCTTCGCAGCCGCAGGAGTGGCTCTCTCCGAACAAAAAAGGACACAACTGAGCATGCATGAAATATCTGTCACCAAAAAGTGCCAAAGCTCGAAGCTGATGTCGAAGTTCGACGGTCACGTTTATCAAGAGTTTAAAGCTGTGTGACTCCATTTTTTCCCCCTACATATTGACAGATATAAAATCAGACATCAAACTGCGATATGGATAATACAAGTTCAACTAGTAAAGTAGTAAAGCAAAAAAGCATGGAAATTCGAGTTTAAATTATCACGAAAAGTCAAAGAACGATTCATCTTAACCCTTGTTCCTCAATTTCCTGTACACGTGGCGGAGGTGGAAAATCCTTGGCCAGGTACATCACAAAGGGGGAAATTCTCACCAACAGGCTCCGTTGGCGAACTGTCCTTTCTAGCGGGGTCGAAGACAAACTGGTTTACATATTGCATATCCATCACATCCCCAATGTGCTCTATCGCGTTAAAATCCAGAGTTAGAAGGCCAGGACTTATGCTCCTCGAATCACTACAACACAACCTGAGCCATGTGACACAGGGCGGAAGATTTCATTTCCAGTTGGGAAGACAGACACCATGTATGGATGCAAATGTTCTCCAGCTTTACCACAACTAAGGGTCCAGAGCCACCTATGAAAATGTCCCCCACTGCATAATACTGCTGTATAGATTCTTTACCAGCTGCCAGTTAAATAACAATTCCCACTTAATCACTTGCCTTCCACGTCACCAGACGAGTTCACTGGAAAAAATGTCGGGATGGTCATAATATTTTGGTTCATCAGTGTATAACTTAACAGCCAAATAAAAGGCTGACTCAGGGTTCATAGCCACATTTTAGTTAAAAAATAAGCACCTGTTTAATTACATATATATATAACTGCATAACCTTAAAATAAAAATGAGATTTAACCATAATTCAAAATCCAAGAAATTCAGTATTTAACCTTCCAGCACGTGCACATCGTATTTTTTACATCCGTTATTTTAGTTTTTGGCGAAAGTGATGAGTGAATATTGATAACAAATTTCTTAAAAAATAAAATATTAATCTTATTATTGCAAAATACAAATGACATCACATTCATATATAAGTAAATTATTTTTAAGTTCTTATGTTAGTGAGATGGAAATGCAATGATGTATTTCATTATAGAAAATTTTAAATTTATTATTTAATAATTATATTTTAAAATCGAAGCTAATTTTAATATTCATCAGAGACAAGTATAGACAATAAAAAAGGAAAACACTTTGGTAGGGGTAAGCTTAGCATTACTTACTTCTACAAGGAAATTTACTTCTTACTGGTTACAAAAGCACACTTTAAACTAACTTTAATGTTTTTATTTCTAAGAAATAGAAGAAAGTATGGGATGGAAATTGCTATTGTTCTCGCATCCAAAGGTTTCCTCATCTTCCTTTTCTTCATCAGATAATTCTTAAAAGATCCGAGCAAAATCAGCTGGTTGCACTTTTTTTTTTGGGCCACATGAAAGCTGATATAACATTTACAGAGCCAAATGTATTCAAATTAAAATAATACATGGGAATTAATAACACAAAATTATAAAATATTTGAGAAAAAAAAACATTTTCTGAATTTTAAAACAAGACCACTTACGTGTCGTAACTTTTATGAAAAAGATGTTGCACAAAAGCCCAGTATATATATATATATATATGTATATATATATAAAGACGAAAGATTTCCTGTTGGCACATTCCACGATGTGAGGAAGGGCAGAAAGGAGCTATTGAAATGACATTCAGACGTCTCAGATTCGATATGTGAAAAATGCGCATTAAAAACTGAATTTGTCGCAAATTTTGTGCAATACGCATGTGCTGGAAGGTTAAAGAGAGAACCAGCATTACTCAACCATGGGAAACAATTACAATTATTTTTTAATTGCAAATAACAGTTCAATTTATAGAACTAGTTTAGAATGAGGAGGGGAAGAACCCTATGCAAAACTAGATTATATTACAAGATTTAATGATGAAATATCAGTTTAAAGAAAATAAATAATAATAAATTTTATTTATTATATTCATACAAAGTACTTTACAACATAAAAAAGAAACAAGTTTTATGTTCATTAATTAAATTTAAAGATTTATGCTTATTAATTAGTAATATTACTTTTATTTTTGATTTTTCTTTTCATTAATGTCTGAATCCAAATCTCTTAAGAGAGTTTTTCACAAATATTTTTTAACATTTCATTAGATTTATTTAAAAGATTAAAGTCTTTTCTAACTTCAGCCTTTTCAGCAAGTTCATCTGCTTTATTTTCAAGCACTTCTCTTTCTAAGAGAGTTTTTCTTTCTTTTAAGAGAAATCAATTCATCTGTTGATTCTGCTGCTTTTCTTTTTATCTTTTCAATAATTTCTTTCTTTTTTCCCCCTGCTCTTCTATAACTCAATATAACTGATACTGTGAATGTGCCACTCTTCTCTCTTTCGTAATTGTGTATTCCACCAGCATGTTTCACATAATCACAAACTATGCACTAGGCAATATACGAATCCCCCCATTTCCTGTTTCTATATTTTTATTGATACTAAATCCTCGTTCAACAGAAGCTTGCCCATGGGAATGAATAAGATCATTTTAAATGTTTCCCATACCTTGAAGTATTTTCCATTGTACTGTAAGGTATGGCTGGACAACAATTTCGATGAAATCGGAATATTCCAAAAGAATGTTATCGCATTCTTCTGCAATATTACCTTTTTGGGAAAAATGCATCGATACACTTCATTTTCTCGTATGCTTTTATGCTGTTTTGCGGCATATACTTCAGATTTAAAGAAACAGTATTTCTAATTAGTGAATAATTAACTGGACATTTCTCCATCAGCTTTTCAAGTAGTTATAAAATAAAAGTTTGTGAGTCACGTTTAAGAGAAAGGTAATCTTTATCCATGATTTCTTTTTTAGTGTATAGTTCTTGCAAACACATCAGCCATTATCAGCCACACTTACCCATTTTTAAAGTTTAGTTATACTTCAGCATTTACTGCAAATATATTATGAATATTCATACGATCGTAATAAACACGAATATGAACTGACGTGGAATTTGGTACATCTATAGACTGTGGGTGGGAGGAAAAGCATGTGAAATATACTGGAATTTTGTACCCCTTTCACAACTCTTTGACCAACAGAACGATGTACATCTGTCTCTACTCGCGCGAATCAAAGATTACGTTATTGCGAAGAAAGCTATTTCCGGAAGTATAACTCACAATCTGACACTCCAGATAAGAAAGAAAAAGTTGTTTATTTAGTTGCGGCTTTGATGTGGGGGAAAAAACTTAAAAAAAAAAAAAAAAAAAAAAAAAAAACTTTAGAGAAAAAGTAAGCACCTATAGGGTTTTTATAATTTATTTTCAAATATAAATACTTGTAAAGACTGCTATGAACCCGGTGACTACATTTCTCCCAAGTAGAGAATTCCATGGTGGTTGAGAAACCAGTCTTTAAAAATGCCATTCAAGGATATTTTCAGTTGCATGTAAATAAACATTGGGATTTATGGCCCAATTTTCTATCAACTAAGCCAGGTCTATACAATTCTATAAATTGAGATTTAGATTCTATAGAAATTTGCACAGTTTCTAAAAGTCCCATGTACAGAATCCACAAATAAAATTCTACTGATGATATTAGGTTCAATTTATAGAAAATTACATCATAATTCTAACAAGTTTCATTGTTTTAATTTTCTATAAAATATTCTATGGAAAATTTAGGGTAAGTATTCTAAAATAAAATTTTTATTAAATATATAAAAAAAATTAAGTTTTCCACTTTAAGCTAGATTTTGAAATGATCTATAATATGGAATAAAAACTTTTCAAAAGTGATGTTTTCCTAATAAAAATTTTTAATACTGTCAATTCTCAAAAATATTTAACTAAAAAATAAATATCTTTTAAATAATAGTTAGGTTTCGTTAAAACTGAGAAACCTTTGCTCGGGGGTACATATACAAAAATTAAAAGAATAAATTTCTAGGATTAACATTTTATAATAACACCATAAATTCAACCTTTTAATTTTATGATTTAAATTCATTGTATGAGATTTAATTTTTAAGTTATACAAGCAACACTGTACAAAATATCACACAAAATGCTATATTAATTAAGAAGCTAGAGGATAAAGCAAAAATTACCATTTAAAAGTGGTTTAACACACATGAATAAAAAGTGTTGGCATTGGTGACCTACTCTATTTGCTTTTAGTTACGAGTATGACAGTAAATCACGAGACAAATTTTGTTGACCCCGCTACGGTGAGAATACTCAGAGAGAATGTCTATGACAACATGTCTATATCTAAAACAACTGCACAGAACATGAGATTCAATTCAGAAAGGTGACCGGGCAACAACCACGATGCTGCCCGGTCATCTTCCTGAATTGCCATGGCAAACTGTCAACAACAAGGGGACAAATTTCAGGTCATAACGAGACACATTAGGGCTACATGGGCAGATGGGATCAGATCAGTTCACCCACTGAAATGAATCGTCTTTTTAGGTCAATCAAGAGCAGTTAGCAAGGAAATAGCAAACAGCGGCAAGAATCGAGCAAGTGGGATTGGAAGAATCGGCCCAATCAAACTGATTTCTTTAAACTTCAGTTTTGAGATTCCAGAAAACATTCCTTCAACAAAACTAACAATAAAATTTAAAATTCTAGAATAATTTTTAAAAAAAGTTGGGAAATGATAAAAATTAAACTCACTTTTAACATAGGAGAATAAACATTTTTATCTTTCCTAAAATGGAAATGATACAGTACTATTCGGTTTTGAGGGCCGTAAAAAAAATCGCCAAACTATTTGATGCCAATGCTGCCAAAAATAATCGCGGCAACCCTAATAATTGCAGCAAGAAAGGAAGTATAATAGTAAATAACTATCTAAGATAGATGTTTTAATTTAGATGAAAGGTTAATTTCATATAATACTTTTTTATTATTATAATTTATATGAAAAAGGCTAAACATGACTGAATGGAAGCATAAGAGTCAATAACTATTTCAGATCATTACAGTCAAAAGACGTTAATTCGGACACCCATAATCCGGACCTCAAAGCTACAAACTTTCTGCGCATGCGTCTCGTTGACGTAAGACCTTTACGGCTGCGAATATGCTTGTGCGCGTTCGCAAAATATGTTTACGAGTGCGCGTTTAACGTATAACGGACGGTATAAGCTAAGCTAAAATTATCGATTTCAGTTAATGTTGCAGATTGTGTTGTTCCTTAATCTTCGAATTGGATTCGGCTTATTATTTTTTGCAGACTGTTAGAGCAATTTTATAAAAGTAAGCTTGAACTTTAGATTATGTCAAATAGAATTTCTGATATATATTTATTAATGTGTAAAGGATCTACAAAGCGAAAGTATATTTCGAAGTTCATTAAACAAAAAGTGGAATTGTTGCAAAAAATGGATAAAGGCAATCCTTTGTTTATCTAAACTTTACCATTTGTTTAACGCCGCAGCACACAATGAATTGGAAGTTGATCTGTCAACACCATCCTTATCTTCAGGGCAGATGTTTTTATTTTATTTGGCTTAAAATTTCTTACTAAATGTAGTATTTCATCTCGATGTACTCCGTCTTTGATATGATTTAAATAAAATTTTTTGTCATTATAATTCGCTTTCGATAGCGAAGAAAGTGACAGAGGTTATAGAAAAAGAAAAAATTTCAATTGACAAATTAGTCGGTAAACACAGCAATTATAGGACTTGAACAGCAAAACTTTGTAACTGAACAGGAAATTATGTCTGTTTAGAGAATTAAAGAGAATGTATTACCACATAAAAAACGAAGCAACTTAAACAACTTACATTGAAAGAAATGTTTAATAAAGTAAACAAATAAATATTAAGCTTTTTTTTTGTAAATTTCGATACCCTTTAGATCACAATTGTTCTTTATTTCATAAATTACGGTTTCATATTTTTAATTTTATAATTTCTGCATGCCATCTTACCAGATTTAAAATGATGATCTATAATACGGAATCGCCGAAGTCCCGACGAGTCCAGATTAACGACTTTTGACTGTATTATAATTTATATAAAAATTGCTAAACATAACTGAATGGATGCCTGCATCGCTATCTTGCTACCGACTTATCGCTAAAGCATAAAAACATTGGTTGTTGAAACGTAATTTTCTATAATGAATGATGCCTTTTCTTTGAAAACATTCAGAATCAGAATTCAGGAGTGCAGAATCACTCACTTACTATTTGCTTGCCGCTTTTTACAAGGGTAAAAACAATTAGATTTTTGTCAATTTTATTTTACCTTTTAAACGAAAATAGGTCGATGTGTACATAGGTAACGTCAAGGGGGTGAGCAGTGCCATTTTTGTGCAATTCTAGGATTTTTTTTAAAGTGAAAATAGGTTGATGTGCACATGGATACCAAGTACGTGCAATTCTTAAAAATGCGTCAAGCAGTGAGTGATTCTGCACTTTACCCAAAATTCTATTGCCGTCTTTTCATCATGGGCAATTCCCAAATTGTTAAATCCATAGGATATCAAAAAAGGATTTAAAATTAAACTAGCATTTCAATGACGTCTTAAGATATAAAGAACTATCTAAACTTACGCAATCTGAAACCAGCGTGCACGCTAGATTTGGCGCTTTTGTGCATACATTTTCGCTGCAATTTTCTTACGGCCCTCAAAACAGAAGAGTTTCCTGGTACACTTCTAACAAGAGATTTTTTTTTTTTTTTTTATAAATTAAGTGTTTGCTTGCTCACTGTAGTCAACCGGTTAGCGAACTTCCCTCTTCCTGGCATACTTCTTAACAGTAGTTTTCTCTCGAATGTAAAAGAGCTACAATTCTTTATTGGAAAAGGGATAAATCACTCAGTTAAGTAAATCAGTTCTGGAATGGATTGTCCAACTCTAATCAGGACAATGTTTATGTGAATAATAATAATAAAAAAAATGTTGGGCATCAGTTTTGTTTCATACCTGATTACAATAGGAAAAATCTTTTGGTAATATAGTGATAGTATGTACAGTAGAAAGTTCGAAATTTGAATGTCCAATATCCAGAATTATCTAATATCTACAGGATCACTTGAATTGTTTTTTAATGTCTTTAAAATATAGTGATGATAATCAAGATACGATAAGGATCATATCAGGGCACTCACCTGACAGTGTTGTGTAATTTAATATACAATCTGGCTAAGTATTAACACAAGTACATATACTTTTTTTATTTACTTACACACAGCTGTTTTCATGAGGTTTAATTAGGAAATGCATTCAGTTCCTTTGTTTTGATCGAGATTCACAGGCAACAGACCACATGTTGCAAGGATACCAAAGTCTTTGTGCTTTTCTATATCCCTAATATGCAATTACATGCGTGCCAAATGTATGATTGGCTGACATGTCAGAATTTTTTTACCAAAAAATATTTTAAATTTAGGTTACATAATAATAACAACACAAAGAGGAAAAAAATTCAAATTTATATTTTCTATCTAAAAGATTAGTACTCGCAAGACAATTTGTTAGTTTGTCTGGTTTATGATTCAAGCATAGTGACAGCTAAATATTAAAACTGGTTAGTATTCTGATAAAATTTGTAGACTTTGAGAGAAATTACTACAAATGTTAGATAGGTTGAGATGCTCATCTGCCAATTGGGTTCCCATTTTTATTAATTTTCAACTCGGAATTAAAGCTGTTAGAAAGGCATTCCTAAACATAGTGATTATTCGTAGTGCGAAAATTCGTAACTGATTGCATTTTTTAGGTGGGGGGACGAGGGCAAGTACAAATAAATGTTAATCAAATCTGTATCACTCTGCAAATTAATTAGCTTCACCCATACATTTTACAGTCCATTATCATGTTTGTTTTTAATGGTAATGAAAATAATATAAACTCACATTTCAAATAATAAAATCTCTGTAACAATGTATTTGAAAAGTATTCATGGAATACATAAAATTGCTTACAGAGAGATGAGTAGCCTAGCAGTTTGAGACTTTGATAACAAGCCTGAAAACTCAGCAGATTTCTACAGATTATTATTCTACAAAGGCAAATTTTACGGAAAAGCATTTCTACAGAGAACTGATTATCTGAAAGTTCTATAAGAATTTATAAGAGCTCTATTGGTGTCCAAAAAAAATTTTTTTATGACTTTTAATTAAGCAAGTTTCCACGGGTTACATACTGTTACAACAAAATGACAGTCTAATTAACAAAACATAACATGATCTTACCTTTTGGAAAATCTGCAATCAGCAGTCACAGTTATTTTAGACTTGCTCCTTTCAATGACAACAGCATTTCCCAAATTATTTATCTTTCCATTAACCTTAATGTGTTCGTGAAGGAATTTTTCCTAAAAATAAAAGTATTCTTATTTATACAAATTCAGAAAATGTCTTACAATTATCCATGATAATCAATGTAGTTAAAACAAAATTATCGCTAAAATTTTATTAACTGCATTTGAAGTGGAAAAAATTTCTCTTCTAAACAAATTAGGCCAGTTAACTTCATGAACAGCCACTTATTTATCAAAAAGTATCACAAAAAGATGTCTTTAATTAGAAAAATTGTTAGTTTCTGATTACCCATACCCCTTACATAGAAATCACAAACATGCCACTGACTTCAGAACACAGTCGCAAAATCGTTGGTAATTAATTTTTTCACCATAGTGCATAAAAGCTAAAACTTCACACAAAAGCAATCAATCAATAAAATTTAAAGAATGGAACTATGGTAATAAAACTCATCTGGTAAAAGTTTAGAACTGGGTGCCCCTTGTTTTTTGTTGCCAAGATCAGCGCCAGGAAGGCACAATTTCAAGATGGCCGCTACACAAAAACAAAATAAGAAGCCAAAGAATTGCACAAACTCTGTTCATGTACACATTGATCTATTTTCATTAAAAAAATAATGAAGCTAAAACAAAGTTAAAACTATTATCGTAACCAAAAGTGAGGTTTCATCGCTAAAATTTCTTTAAAATTGTCACTAATAAAAGGGGCACCCAGTGCCGTTATTTACATTATTTAAGTGAAATGCCTTTATTTTATGTAAACAAAATAATAAAATACTAGATGAGTAAAAAACAAAGTCCATCAGCTTTGCAAGTAAAACCACAATCCTATTTATGTAATTCATGATAAAATAATAAATTGTACAACACTTCCCTCAGACTCCGAAATTGTCAACCAAGTAAATATATTCAAATTCACAAACAACGGATGCACCATAAACTCACTAAAATACACAAGTTACTATCGACATGGAATTCAACACACTAAACAATTTTCATTGTTACAACCACATGTTGTATCCGAAACCTTTCGAAAAGTGAACCGATATTTATAGTGAATCAGCGCAAATGCCAAAACAAAATTAATAGCCCTTTCGTTAAAAAAGAAACAATCGTATACAGTTTTACACTGTATTGGGAGAGGTTAGCACTCCCCTTGACAAGGACGGAATGGCCTCTTGGCCTAAGCATAGTTTTGCATCATTATTATTGTTTCCATATGTAGAGAGGCAGAATGGAATTGTTTTAATACTGTCAATAACCGAGGATTTATTTTTCATACCAATTTCTAGAACCCATTCCTTTTACAATTGCAGCCATTTTTGTCCTTGCACTAGAGTATTTCTTAGTGATTTTACTGGCGGAAACATTTTTAAAAAAATGCCACAGCATGATCTGATGCATTCAGTGGTAGGTTATACTCCAGTAAAAAGGCAGAGAACTGGCATTTTGCATTAATAACTTCTTGGTCCTTTGTTTCTACAAAAAACAATTCCCCAATACAACTTACATTATCTTTACACACTATAATATAATTATGGGTGTCATTCTTCCAGTTTCATTTCCCCATGCTAAGAATGCTACATCATTAACAACTTACTTAAATAAAGTGATTACTTGCCTGTTGGGGATCCTTATGCAGTTTCCCCTTAGAACCCGACTGCACTGTAGTGTTAATAGCTAAAATTATTAAAGTTTAATTAAAAAAAAATTCCCATTTTTTAACACCTATTTTGACCCTTGCCTATTTACGTCAATTCTGAAAACAATATATGTAATTAATGTGTTTATTAAAGCAAATGCACTTAGTTGATGATCCTCACACATAAAGATAGGAAATAAAGTATGTATGAAAAGAATTTGTATTAAGAATTATACTCGAAATTCAGAATACTTACAAAATCTGAAGCATTCATAATTCCATCTTCTACTGGATGACTGCTATCAATTGAGAATTTTTTGGGTTGTAATTTCTTCTTTTTACCTTTCCCTTTAACACCAACTTTGGGTGGTTTCTTCTTGATAACCTGCAAAAATCAAAATATAATTGATAAATATAAAAAAATTAAATGTCATATTTACACAAAAATGAGACGGCATAGATGCCAATCCCAAAATCTTAAAATCTGAAAGGTTTTTCACATATCACCATTCCAAAGGTCTTTTACTGTATCCAAATGGTCTTTAATTTGCTGTATAATATATGCAGATTACTGAACTTTTTGTATTTTAGTTATGAAGTATAATCTATTAACATTTAATTGCATATCCAGATTATATTGTCTTTAGGATAATTTAATTTTTAAAATTTTTCTTACACTTTTATACCAAGAAAATCCAGAGTAATGAAAGAAACCTTTTTTTTTAAAAAAATCACAAGGTTTCTTTTAAATATGATGAAATTAAAATTAATATACACAGTATTTGTGTGAATAAACTGAACTAAACAAAAATACAAATTAAATTAAACATTCCTCTAATCTTCATATAAAAATTTACAAATGCTTGATGTGGATTAATATAACTCAGAACAAATGGAATTTAATACAACAGATTGGTAAACTATAATAAAAAATACAGTTCCGATGAAAAAGGTTTTAAATAAGGAAAAAATATTCTGAAAATCATTAGAGATGGGAGAATGAAATCTCGCAAATTTTAAGTTTCATTACTTCAATAAATTTCATTTATTGCTGGGAAACATTTTTTTTTAGCATCATCATCATAGGTGGCCAGACAGCCTATTATGAGCCAAATGCCTTCATTTGAAGATTCCCCAAGATGACTTTGAGATCTCTGACCTCCACTTTTCATTAACTAATCCAACTCTACTGAATCAGTCTATCGCAGCCACAGCTTTCAGTGGATTTAAAAAGGAATACTTTTTTTATGACCATCATTTTGCATTCAATCACGTGAACCACCCAAACTGTTAATATTTATATATTATAAGATATCTTGGAGTTCAAAATATTTCTTCCTCCATATATTCTTAAGATGCCATCTTCATATTTTTCCTGACTTCTAAGGTCCAATTTGCGCCATAAATTTTCATTTGTATTTATGTCAGGTGATTGGTGTCTTTAACTGGCATTATGCAATAACTACTCCTGGGTGAGGTTTGCTGTATCCTTAGGGTGGGGATACTCAGATAACCGGCACTTGGCGAACTTCCAGAAATCGCGTTCACCTACTTGAGCGATAGGCGCCAAACAGTGGGAGGACAGTTCAGGTTGCAAGTTTAAACCTTCACTAAGCTAGGGAGAAAGGGAAAAGGGAAGGGATATTTTCTTACGCCTTACTTCGGATGTCATGCGACTCTGCAGATGAATCTTCGTGTTGATCACATGACTTTGTCAGTAGACGTGGTGAATACGCTCATAAGCTGTTTGTTGTATTTTTAGATTACTATTAAAATTATTAATGACTTAAAAATTAAATAATCAATCAAATTAAAAATGTTAATAATTATCAAATTAAAATGATTATTTAATTATATTTCATTAATAATTAAGAAATTAAATATGATTAATTAATTATATTTCATTAATTATTATTATTATTATTATTTTAAGAACTTGATTCTTTTTCTAAAATGCATCATAAAAAGTAAACAATAAGATATAGCATTTTTATTATTATCTGCTTACATTTAGCAATAAATATGACAGCTTTAAAGGCTGATAAACCATGGCCAAAAAAGACAGTTTGCATAAAACAATGCAATGTAAATGCAGAAGTCAAACAGCTTTTTAAAAGCAGATAATTACTAAAAATAGCATTTGGTATTAACAACAGCTGTTCAAAAGTACAAGTAGCAACTGCACGGTGATACATGCACCACAACTATGACGGATTTCTTTTAAGAGACATATATTGATTCTCTTGAAAAATGTATCAGCACAATTGGTGTTAATTCAAGAGTACTTGATGTGGGCATCTTTTAAAGTCTATGCCTTGGTTCTTCAGTGTTGTGATTTATATATTGCAGTTGACCATTTTTAATTTTAACAATTCTTGTAAATAACCATCAATAAGAAAATCTTTCATCCTCCATACTATTGTGTTCCTGTGATGACATTTGACAATGTATACTGAAAATTATTAAGTTTGCCATGTTCTGTCATCCCTTAAAACTTGTGATATAAATTCTGTTACGCCCTGTATATATATATAGAAAGAGCTTTGCAAAAAAAGTAATAAGTGCATGTTTTTCAATTGCATTTCAGGGTATGGAAATTAAAAATCCTGCAGCCCTTTCATAAATAAATACAGCAGAATTACAGGTTCGAAAATGTAATTTATTTCCTAAGTATTTTTGGTAAGTTCTAAATGTAAATATATACAAAAGAAGGCATTTACACATTTTTAGAACAATTTGGGGGCCATTTAATTATGTTTAAAATGTAAAGAGTATTTTTTTATATGTTCAATATGATAGCTTTTTTTCCGGCAAGCCTGCCCAGAAAACGCCCATGATTTCTCCGAAAGAAGGGCTTTTCATAATATTTCCATGGGTATTGATTTTTATTCCTCGTCCATAACTTTCCAGATTCCATCTGTTGTGATGGCTTTGCACTTAGGAAGCTTAGCTCTTTATGAGATTAAAGGCACAACAGTCCACCTGTGATTTTTTTTAAAATTCTGATCAAAATTATTCTAAAAATATGTAAACACCCTATTTGTATATTATTTCTTTATTATGTATCTTATTTTTCTTGTAACAGTGATTTCATTTTTATAATATCTTGACTGTTATACTTTAAAAAAACATTTTTTTGCCTCCCTTGGTTTTTGAATTTTTCAGGTTCGGAGGATTATGGCTCTTGGCGACACCTCCGTAAAAAAAAAAAACGCATCACGATTCCTACCTCCTGATGTAGGTTTGCACTTGATGTACAGACATAATTACTTTCAAAATTTTTAAATATTTAACGTATCATATTGCTTAATTTGTTATGCATGTCATGCTTCGCAATAACCAATTTCTTCATGATTATAATTCAACTTTCATTTCCTTAAAACTGAAATTAATACTTAAAAGTAACAATTGAAATATTTAGCATGCTTCTTTAATTCTTAAAGAGTATTTTACAGTTTGTTTTTTAAAGCAAGTGCAAACCTACTTCTAAGGTGATGCGGAAATGGAATCTATTTACACCCACCTTTTTAAATATGGAATATTTTAAACAGATGCTGAAGTCAGTCAATTTTTAAGAATGTTAAGTATGACTCTGAGTGTGTGACCTGATATGAGGAGGATAGTGCAAGACAAGACTACTAGATTTGTGTTGCATGCAGTGTGAACATTTCATAAGTGTACAACAAAGTGATTTGGATTAATTATTTCAAAACACGAACCTCAGATGTTAATATTTCAAGAAACTGTTTTTTAGAAGAACTGCAAATATCAACAAGAATATAATAAAAGGATATACAACACGTTATGCACAACTGCAATGGGGTAAGTTAAAATTCTTGTACCTATTTTTGCATTCATTCATTCATATATTTTATTATAAATTTGTTGGTAATATAATATGAATGGATAATTTTATATAAGATATTTATTCTATATAAAATGCTAACATAAGTTTATTTTAATATAGAGAGTAAAAGTAAATCTATAATGAACGGTTTAGTTCATCAAAATAAAATGTCATCCGAGTTATCTGAGTATCTCCAAATAATATACTCATGTATATTTTATCTTTTAAAATTTTTAACGTTACTTACGTGATAAATATTCCATTTGCATAATCTTTACTGCATTTATATGAAGAACATGTTTTCAAACATATTTAACTATTATTATAGATAAGTGTAGAAATTAATGGTCAGAATTAAAAAAGAAAAGTATTAAGTTGGTAAGGTAATAATGTTGGAGTTATATATATCTTCATCTAAAATACTAAGGTGAAAACATGTATGTAGATTAACTTTAACATATCAACAACTAAATTAATTTTATGTACATTGTTTACCTTTTTAACGCAAACGCGTTATTGTATTTAGCCTCAGGCGATTTTCGCCTAGCACCGGTTTCTCCCCTATGTCCGGCTCAGGAGGGAAATTTTGGAAAGCGTCTTTTGACGTCAAAAAAATCCTTCCGAGGATTTGGCGATTTTCGCCGATTCAAGATGGCGGAAAAAATTGCGCCAAGTGCCGGTTATCTGAGTCTTCCCCTTAGGGTCATTGTTCTGTTGAAACACGAATGACGTTTTTAAGCCAAGTTTTTGGGCACTTGAATTTCAAGTTGTAGCACAATATATCAATGTACATACATGCTGTCATAATACCATCAACGAAGCACAGGTTACCAAATCTTTAGGATGAACAACGCAATCTGTTAACTGAAATAGATAATTTTAGCTTATACCGTCTGTTATACATTAAACGCGCATGCGTAAACGTATTATGTGCTTGCGCACATGCATATGGGCTGCTGTAAAGGTCTTACGTGCATGCGTAAACGCCTATGCGCATGGGCAGAAAAGTTTGTAGCTTTGAGGTCCGGATTAACGACTTTTGACTGTACTGGTATTCCAGTTCAGTGTTTGGCCTTTTCCACACATATTGTTGTCTATCACTTCTGAAAATGTTAAACTTTGATTCATCGGAAAAAATAACTGTGTTCGAAAGCTCGTACGAGAAATTAACATGACATTTTGCAAAGTCTAATCTTTTTCTCCTGTTTATTTCTGAAATGAAAGGTTTCTTTTTAGCTTTCCTTCCATAATAACATTATTCATGTAAAACATACATTATTGTCTCTACAGTAAAAAGTTTTATGCGAAGTTAACATCTTTGCCTAACTGGGGTGCACTTATAGGTTTTTTTAAACCTCTTTGATAATGCCATGTTTTCCCTTGCAGAAAATATTCGAGGTCATCCACTTGTAATCTTATTTTCCATTGATCCTGTCTTGAAACTTCTGACAGTTTTTAACATTAACATCCAACTCCTCTAAAGCCATTTTATCACAATATTAGCAAAACAATGTTTTAAAAGCGCACTGCAGACATTATACTAGCAGGATTTCTTATATCAGTATAAACACGTGCCCTCAACAAAACAAAATTTGCAGAGCAGTTAGAACTTTGCCAATACTTTTTTCGACATGCAAATTTATGTTTGTGTTTCAATTTTGGAAAAAAAAAAAAAAAAAATTTCGCTAGATTTGTGGGGTTTTCATCCGCAGAGAACCCGTTGTATTTTTACTCGCCAAGCTTGCATTTCATCGACGATGATCCGAGCCGTAAACAGATTCTTTGCCGTAGACGTGATATTTTGTTAACATGATTTTTAGTGCATGTAAATTCAAGTTAGCAGACAAAACAATATATTAAGCATGTGGTAGTAGAAATTCACAGATAATAAGCATGTAGATGTAAAACTAACCGGTTAAACGTTATATATTCATTTAAAAATATAAATTAGTATTAATGTACTGAAATTAACCGGTTAAACGCGATAAACGAAAAAAAGGAAGCACTTCCGCAGAGAACCCGGTAAATGTAACATCGCCAACTTTGGCGATAATAGTTCAAACCTGGTAACCCGCGGATTTATATTATTGTTCAGTTGAGTTTCCTCTTGCGTCACTTTGTTGAATTATCACTGTCTCGCGTTTGCAGATTATTATTCTCTTATTTATTAATTAACAACACGAATAGAAATATTTTGGTAGATAAATGCCAGTTCTCGGTCCGGATGAAAGGAAAAACGCGGGGAGAGGTGAATGCTAATTTGTAACACGGTTGTTGACGTTTGTATTCTTATTAATTAACAGGCGTAAGCATGCAGAACTATGAGGTTTAACCCGTAAAATTTGTTTTTCGTAGGCCGCAAAAAGATGCATGTGCATTTTATTAAGCTTTTATTTTTATTATTGGTTATGGTCATCTAAAATTATGAGAATAAATCAATTTTTATGACATAAAATTTTAACAAAATATCTGTTAATGCTTTTCAACAATAGCCTTTCAGAGGATTGCAGGTGTGACATAAATAGATCATTAAATTGAAATAAATATGATTGATTATCTAAGATGACAGAATAGTTGATGCATCCATCAAAATTAGCAAACCACTGCTGATGTAAGGATTATATTGTTTCCCGTGTTAACTGGAATTTAAGACATATTTCGGTTTAATCCTAGTATCCGGTGCACACCGGATTTGGCTACTTTTGGATAAAAAAACGGGACATATACAATTAGTAAACGGGTCATTCAAAGAATATATATAGTTATACATAGTATATACTTATAAACATAGACATTGTTTGGGTATGTATATAGTGTATAGTACATAGATGTTGTTTGGGTCATTTTAGTGTGGCGATAGATCGTAGGATTGCAAAATTTCAATATTTCTTCTATTATTGTTAAAAATTCAGAAAAAAGCAATAAGAAGATAATATAAACATGGAACCAACAACATTCAACAATGAACGCAGAGGAATGATGCAACTTGAACAAGCAAATAGGATAAATTAAGGTATGAATCGAGTAGAATTTACGTGTATATACACATTATAACTAACACCTAATTTTGCATACAAAGCTTTAATTACTCCTAAGGAAACTGAGTATTTTCTGATTATCTGCTGCATGTCAAAGCAAATAAAATTAATGGCTATTTTACTTGTTTTGAGCATGCATCCCAAATGATATACTTAATGAAATTTGGCATCAAAACCAATGACATCTCAACTTTTGAATGAAAAGCTTTTCTACTTGCTTACAGGATCAGCATTCAAAAGTACCAAATGGAACAATTAAATTGCGACAAAATGCTTACTGCTAACTATTAATTTATTACAAAATTACACACTGTCTAACACCCTGGTTTAAAATATACCCTATGTTTTCTATTTCGGTACGTTACATGAACTAATTTTCATTACAACTTCATATCACTTTTCCTCCAACTGTAATAATTTACGATAGAATAATACATCGAACTGTGTTTAAATCCTCATTGTTAAGACTTTTTATTTCCCCAAAAATGGCGGATCTGCTACTATGCACGTGTCCAAGATCTCAATACCGAAAAGACATTATCTTCCAAAATCGAGTTAAAATTTTTCCTGAATTGATAAAAATACGTCTGATTTTACAAACTTAAAACACTATGAATAAGCAATAAAATATTACTTACAACAGCCATTGCAGACCGAAATTTCGAACACACTACTCGCTCTTACACCAAATGATAAACAGTTGCCAATCTCTTTGATAAAAACACTTAGCGGTTACACATTGCTAAGGAATTTTTTTACATTAGAATTTAAAGTTCACGATGGTTTAAATTACAATAGTTAAAGACTTAATGCGGAAAAATTGGTAAACATTAAATCTTTATTCTTTTTAAAATTTAGGTAAGCCAATCTATAATCACTTAACAATGTAAGCGACTTAAAAGACCAAATGCGTTTCAAAACAATTAAAAAAATTTTTTTTGATAGAATAGGCATGACTGATATAGTTTAAATTATATTTAACTTAGAATATATCCAATCTGTAATTTTTATGAGTATTTTATGAAAAATAGTGTAGTTTTGCACATAATAGATAAAGGAAATGTAAACGACAACCATCTTAGCCAAATTTGGCGTCGTTTGAATTAAGGAGGTTAGAATCTTGGTTTGAATCAATTGGTTATCTGTCACGTTTATTGTGATTATAATTATTATTTGCGCGTGAGTTGGTTTGCGGAAACTGTATTGTAAATAGGAATTTTTGTATCCATTTTGTGAATGTATTTGATTATGTTTTTTATTTTTCATTGGATATAAAACCATTGCAACTGAAAATCATATTGATATGATTTCCTGTTCCATTCTATTTTGCTTTATGAAATATTTGCTTTATATTTTTTAAATTTTCTATCCATTTGATTTATACATTTGTTTTCATCATATCTGTAGGTAATTTATTCAGTTAAAGTTCGTTGAATTAATTGAATTTTTCCTTTTCGTGGTGAGCTGTTATTTCATTCAAATATAGCTGTATTGGATTGACTCTTTTTTCCGTTATTTGTATCTCGTTTCGAATTTTTATTTACTTCGTTTTATGAAAGACCTTATCATAATTTTTAATCATTTTATCTCTCTGTAATTGTTCATTGATGTAATAGGTTAACCTAACGTGTGAAAATTTATACTGAATATTTTATCTTCTTCCAATCATTTATATGGATTTCAGCAACATCTAGTACCCATCTAAATTTTGCACTACTTTCTTCACTGTCTTATCTTGCTTATGAGAAATTTAAATGAGTTATTTTTGTGCCTGTTTTATGATCTGTCATCTCTTCTATAGCATTTGATTTGGAGTTTTATTGATGGAAAAACCAGCTTTCTTTCCATTGTTTTAAACAGCCAGCTGGGATGTCCTGTAGAGCAGGATTAAAATTCTTTTCTGTTCCTAGGGCAGACTTGCTAGTTACAGTGATTTCACATCATTTGATATGCTCATCAATGAAATAAGCCGTGTAGAGAAATATACAATTGTATGTTATATAAATTCATCTGGGTAAAATCTTAGTATACAGTGCAGGCTTGGCGTGATTTTGAAAATTATCGCCAACACCAAAAATGACCCAAAGAACATCTATGTATACACTATACATTATATACTATCACTATATATATCACTATATAACTATATATATTCTTTGAATGACCCGTTTTTACTGCTCATCTAACGTGGCCAGGCAAAGTACCACTATTAAACCTTCATCTGTTTAGATAAAACATAAATATTCTAATTCCATAATTCTAGCTATAGTTGAAGTAGCATGTTAATAAGAACTGAAGGCTAAAAAAAAAAAAAAAAAAGGGAACAGTTAAATTTACATGTGGATTGAATTATTATAAATTTGTGTATATTTTCTTATATGAGAAAAATATTTACAAATTCATCCATTAATATTATGCAGAAATAAGATTATAATTTGGCATAGAAAATGTTTGGTAAAAATATTTTTACTTCTGTGTATGAATATTTTTACTCAAAATCTGTGCTAAACTGAGGTTGTATTGTTGCATGATGTTAAATTTTTCATTGGCATGCTTTTGTTTCATTCAATCATCTGTTATTAAAATATCTAGAAAAGGGTATATTTACATAGGATTTATTTTCTCAAATCCAGAACCTCTAAATTTGAGAAATTGCTAGTATTTGTATACATAATCATCGTTATGAAAACATGCTAAGTCGTATTTATTACACACGGGTAATTTTGAAAGCAAATGTCCATGATTAATTTTTATTGATGCAGAAATCGCAATATATAAGATGGGTTGGTCATGTACCAAAAAAAAAAAAAAAAAAAAGAGCTTTCCTTAAAGAACTCTGTCTTTATCAAATTTAACCGTTTGAATCTCAAGCAGTGCGATCACACTGTTGAGATTTTATGTCGAGGAAACCCAGTATATTTCGAACATTGGGGACAAAATGAGAAACACTTATGCAAGAGTACGTCTTATCTCTTTGCAAACGTCAATAAATGTGACTGAGTGCCGAGAATCGCCGAAATACAAGAAGCCTCGATTAGGATTGCACCGCTTGGTATTTCTCGACATAAAATAAAACAAGTGCTATCGCGCTGCTTGGATCTTTTCGTACTCATTTAGAGAGAGCGTGGTTGCACAGTTTGGGATTCTTCAGTAGTGTTTTTTCAATAACCCGTGGGACTCAAACGTTTAATGGCATCAGTCTCACTCTGCCTTGTAAAACAACTGCTTTTGTTGGTTTGATGAAATAAACAGATAATTTGTTAAATGTCATTTTAGCAGATGAAAATATTTCTGTCACACTAGAATGTCAAAAACTATCAAATAAATAATAACTTTCCTTATACAGAAATACAGTTATGAAAAAAAATATATACTCTAAACTTTTGGTCTGCTGAAGTATTGAGGCTAAAACAAAGTGGAAAACAGAACCACCCAGTATTGCCGTGTTAATTAAATTTGCATAAACTTCTTTCCTTGAGCCCAATGCAGTGGTATAGCTAGAGGGATGGGGTTGTCCCAGGCAATAATTTTGGCATAGATGATCGAGGCATATAAAGAATAATAAGATTCTGAATTGCATACTGAGTTAAATTGAGAAAATAAATAGTTTTCACTCAAGGTAAAGTATTCAAAGCAACCAACACAAGATTTCAATTACGACGTACCTTTGTTATACTTTTTTTTCTTGCATCAAAATCTTTGAATGAAAATGATGAATATTAACTAAATTATCACAGGGACAATAATAAAACAAAATATTTTAAGAGTTTCATTTCTATTATTGCTAGAGAAATCAAAAGAAGAATGTGGGAGGGCGGTCCTTTTGAATTTTTGCAGTTTATTCTAAATTAGAATCTCCAGAATAAAGTTTCAAACATCGTAATGCTATTGTGAACTTTCCTTACTCTTCTCATAACTGCTAGTTATGAGAAGAGTTTTCTAAATGAAAATCATTTAGAAAGTATATTAGAACTATAAATGTTTATTTTGCATTTGAGAAATTAAGAAATATTTGTATACTTCCTGCATTGCAGTAACTGCAGCAATCAAGTAGACCTCTGTGATGTTAAGGGTTGTAAAAAAAAAGAAAGAAAAACAAGCAAAATGATAATATAATTTTGCAATGTTGGAAATTTTCTTCAGATTAAAATTTTTCTCCAAAAATAAACAAAGAGTTTGAATTTATTTCCCTGTATGTCATTTTGACACTTTTTTTATTTGTTTGTATTTCAAGAGGAGTGGTTAAAAGTTCTAGCTGTGCCACTAACCCACCGTTAAAATTTAATTTCATTGGTAATATTGCATTAGAATGTAGATCATCCTTAAACAGTGATAGTTTAAATGCTTTAAAAACAGAAATATTATTTATTTTCATTAAACCAAAATAAATGTCAAATTTTTGGATTAGGAAATCCATCTCAAGGCCATATTAGTAAAAACCCGAGGTTTAATTTACTGAATTACAGGACAGATTACCAAAATTTTTTACCTTTAATGAACTATTCTCTTCCTATTAGCTTCCACACCTGTTAACATGCATACTTTAGGCTCTACTCATAGTAATTGAAGGATTAAGTGAAAAGTCATTATCTGCATCAAAATGTTTGTTGATCATGTAGAACTTTCAGTTGTCAGGGGGGAATAATGCAGCTCTTTCCAAAATCTCCCCCCTCCCTTGAAAAGCAAGCTAAACTTAACAATTATTTTAAGAATATTCAGAAACTAAAAAGATGTAGTAAAATATAATTTAACATTTTATAAATTAAAAAGCATTCTTCATTACCCTTTGGTAATGAAATAGGTTGAAAATTTTTTATATTGTAATGTATTTTGCAGTATTTAACAAAATAACAGATGATTTTCTTAGTCAAACATAAATTTTATTTTTAGTTCATGTAGATAGACAATTTAAAATACAATGGTACTTTGGTAAAACTTTTAGAATAATAAATTTTTTTAAACATTTTCCGACGTTGCCTAGCAACGGTTACAAAATACAGATGATATCAAATGTGGCATTACCACTTCAATATCAAGGATAATAACTATAATTATTTGTTAAATAATATATAAATCAAATATATTAAAACAGTTCGTTCAGTTGCGGGCCTGCCTCTACCCGAGGCTGGGTGCATTATGAATAAAGACAAAGAATTCTTAATAAATCATTCTTTATTTCCATCAAAACAGTATCACTCTTCCGAGATCAGCTTTCGTTCGTCCACACGTAAAACATTCGAAAAACACTCAGCACGCAGGCTGACGTCACAAGCAGCAGCGCCTCGCGCCGGTTATTACTTCAGTTCATTTCACAACATCCTCCCCCCCTTGAGACTCAGGTTGAGTCTCAAACTCATAACAAACATTATTTAAAAGATCAAGTCTTTTTGGAACTTTTACAAGTCGTCCAGAGGAGGAATATTGTTGCATCACCATTTTATCAGGTGCAATACCCTTTTTTAACGTACACCCAGCACTAGAATTAGATTCCTCTGCACCCAGTTTCTTATCAGGAATTATGTTTCTATCATTGGACTGTATCTCCAGAGGAAAGATGCGTTGTATTGGTCGTATAACTATTCCATGCCGGGTCTTAAGTTTAACCGTACGAATCTTTCCATCACGTCCAGGGATCAATTCTGTAATTCGGGCTAAAGGCCAAAATAAACGTTTTCTGTTATCATCCCCCATCAGTACTATTTCTCCTACAACAGGTTCCCGAGATCGCTTTTCATTATGCTTTTGAACCAGTTGACTAAGGTATTCTTTTCTTTTCTAAATCGTTGTCT